TAACTAAACCATAAGCAATATAGAAGATAATACATTACTAAACTCCAAGACTAATTCTAACTTAAATAATCATCATGCCTTCTCCCACCTCTCATCACTCCAACGCGCCATATACTGGCTCATATCCTTGGCGAGCCCATTTATAAGCTTCAGAGACCCAAACATGGTCGTAAACGCAGCCTCTGCATTAGGAAGATATATCTTCACAAGGACATTATCTCCACTTTGGCGGGCCTTGGGACACCCTGGGTATACACACCACTGTCCATATGTTTCGAGTTCATCTTTTGGTCGCCAAATCTCCCAGGGGTTAGTTGTTCCGGTGGATGAACTTCCAGGCATCTCATACCGAGATTCGAGGTCGGGGGCATGGGCGAGCAGTGAAGTCAGCCAGGGCAGCATTTCGGCTTCTTGGCTAAGGATTGCCGTGAGAAGATTGAATAATAAGTCGACGCTGGAAGCTATCTGGGTAAGGTTATCCTGCATTTGTCTGATTGGCTCTATAGTAGTAAAATGCAGGCTGGGTGGACGATCTTGGCCGAGCTTAAACCAAGACCATTTTGGTGTCGGAGGAACATGAGTCTTGGCGATCTTTACGATAAATGACAAATCGTCAAAGGCCAATTTCAACGACTCTTGGAGCCGCGCAATATCCTTGAGGAGATCGTTTGCCGACACGTTGAGACCAAAGGATTCAACATGTGTTCTGAATTCATCCAGCCAGCTGACTGGCATAGGTTCGCACTTTTTCATTGTCCCATTGTATGCTCGTTTTGAATTACAAGGTGGTGATGAGTCGTGAAGATATGAAACTCCAATTGGCGTGGCAACATCGAGAAAGACAGTCTGCGCATCCCTGGGAATGGAAATGGCGATCGTTCTTACAATACGGCGGAAGGATGTAGCAACATCACGAACACGAGCGCGAGCCCCGTGACACAGATTCTGTATGTCAATGGCAGCATCTGGAACCGGCGAATCCTTGTGTTTGCGCTGATGTTCGTGCCGATACCACCAGTATTCCCAGGGCTCCTCTGTCAGGCCATCCTGCTCATCCCAGAACCCCCCCGATCTGAACCATTGCGGAGCAAGCGTCAAAAAGTGTTGTCGTGGAACCATCTAGAACTGTAAACGGTATCGTTTCCTTGATGATGTACTGTCGTGGGAGAGTTGCGTATTGAAGACAAATGTGTTGATAATGATCAATCACTGGGAGAACACTGCGGACGAAAGGTGCTTGGACAGTGGTGCTTTCTGGGAGAGGCCCTGGTGGTTGATATAGTAAAGGCCTGAAGACTAGGAATAATCCCACAGTGATGGTGTAGAAGGCAAGGCCGTATAGGATAAAGCCAGTGAATCTATTATTACAAATCGCAGGAAGACGAGACAACAGGACTGGTTAGGGGGGAGGGGCAGGAGCATGATGCTCATCCTCACCCTCATCATCCAAAACCCACAAATTAGTGTCCTTACACTCAACAATATAGTTCGGTGTAGTTGGTGCCGTCGCTTGCGTGAATGGAGGTCGTCCATGATGTGAGATATGATCAGTACGATGAAAATGAAATGTTCCATCGCGCAAGCCTTGAGATGCCCAATATTCATTGTGCAGACAAAGACCGACTCTTGCGCTTTGTTGATGAGGGGCGAGTTGAGGATGTGGATGAAGCCGAAGACGAACAAGGGTGAATTCTCCATTTTCATGAAGATCTGGTGAAGGCAGGTCTGATGAATATCGTGACGGCCGCGACGGCCGATGACGGGGTGCAGTTGGTGTTGAAGGGACAGTGCGTGATCGGAGATTGCGTGGTGGAAGCATAGTGATGCAAATTGAGGAGAGACGATAGAACCAATGGAGAATATTCTCTCGAGTATCAGAGAGGAGGTTGAAAGGAAGAAGCTGTTGAGGTTGGATACTTTTCTTTGTTCTCAGCCATCAACCAACCAACCGTTACATGCCTGAGGAATCAATTGAACTGAGGCATGGCCCTTGCACTTGCACCGAGTACTCACAACATGCAATGTATAATTAATTTAAATTGAACTGGGCATACCGGGCTTGCTCAATGATCTGCCACGCACGGTAGACGGGCATATGAGAGATGGTTTTAACAGCCTTAATTTCTAGACCTGAAGGAGAGGTGACTAACTGTTGGCTACGTTCTGACTAATTCAATTGGGAGACCGAGTCTGCTCAAGTCAAGGTCTTGTAGCCTCATCTTGTGCAAGCATGAAGCCCTCAGTAGTCTGTCTAGTTCAGATATCTCAATTATGTAAATGCTCTCCGACTTGACGCCTCAAGTCCTGTCATATCCTGCACCGTTGATCAAACTCTGAGATATAGCCGGAACCTGAATACTTTCTTGCCCATTATGTCTCTCCACAAGCACTGCCAGGAGCGCCTGCTCAACAGCCTCCTGCCTCTTAGCCCCTGTAAATCTAGCACCGCACTCCTGTCTATGCTGCTCATTCACATCTCCGGTTCTCCCTGCAACACTGGCCGGCACCTGATGCTATACCTGCACCGTAGCGTATAGCATTGCTAGCGCTACAAGACGCTGCGACTCGGTTTTCTCCGTGTCTTTTGGTATGCTGTATGTTGTTGGCGATGGTGGGGTCGATATACTGCGGAGGAGACGCCCTTTGGAAGGGTCGAATTGGGCGATGTGCTGGGATATGTGAAGAAAGTATGGGATATAAGATTCGTAGGTAAAGGCGGTTGGGGGGTTCTTGTATGATGGCGGAGTTGACGGCGGGTTAGGATAGGTAGACCCATCCGAACCGGGATCTTCAGCAAGAGAACTGAGGTTGTGGATCTTGGTAATTTGTTCTTGAGTTCGCTATTCATCAATGTCCTTTTTCTATAGAACCATGAGTTTGAGTATGCTGAGAATATATTTAGTATTTATTTGTTTAGTTAAACTAGCTTGATTAGTATCTTTTTTTTAACTCATACGTATTGGCAAACTCCTTCTCTTCATTTAGCTTACTGAATCTATCTCTCTCCTTCCATCCTGTCATGATGTCGTTTTCTAATTATACAATCACAAAAGGGCAGCCTGATGTTCTTGGCCCTCCTGTCCCTACCCCAGTCCACAGGATCGACGCCTTGTCTGCATTTTCAATTAGCTATTCTGTCATGGTCAATGCCCCAGTACTAAAAAGCCTTGAAAAGCTGATCGATACCAATACCTGGCCATACTGGAACGTCTTCACCCCTCGTGGGACCTTGACAAAAGCCCCCCGATCACTGATCAGACTACAAATGACTCGGAGCTACATCAACTCATTTCTCGCCCTGGCCACCTGTATACAGTGGTAGATTCCACAGTTGATGTCCATATGAGCAAGAACTCGAAGCAGCGGACAAATACAGCGGCGGAAACTGTTGACAGAGTAGAGCGCTTTGAGACTGATGTTGGAAGGCTAGGATATCGGGACACATAGCGATACATCGGCATGCCTTTCTTCTCGAGCCACAACGAGCGCATTCATGAGCTTTATGGAATCTATCGACCCGATGAGTGGTGAGAAGGTGACTGAGTATATCGGCTGGGAGACTTATGGTGGGCTCGCAGCGTTCATCATCAAGTATACAGTCTACGATGGCTCCCGGGATTCGTTTCAAAGATGGCACGATGATTTCAAGGCTGCCGTCGAGACATGATCAGCGATGGAAAACACCTGTATCTAAACTCTGATTCAGGATAGGCCATAGAAATAAATGCACTCATGGGAAGATTCTAGAGAGATCTCTTGAGTTGGGCTCCTTTGAAGGTTTCATATGTTTACAGGGACTGAACAGCAGGCCGAACTCAAAGCGCTGCAAGCTAGCAATGATTTTCCGCGCTTTGGACTCGAGTTTATTGTCCCGATTGCCCAAGGGCTGAGTCATCGTTGTTGAGAGCGGGCAGAATAAGGATTTAAGCATGGTATACTAAATGTGACTGGCTGACAGATTGTGTCAGATGGAACAGCTCCCGCATAATACAGCTGTCCAGCAGCCTGAATCCATTGGATCCAGATGTCATCGTAACCGCTTTTATGCTTACTTATGCCCTTTTGAGACAACGACTTTTAGCCATATCGGCCAACACTCTGTCGTCAAAGCGCATCTTCCGGCTTGCCCATACTTGGCAGCCTTTCTTGTCGATAAGCAAAACCAACAGGATAACTTGAAGGTACTGGCAACGAATCATGGTCGAAGGAGTTCGGTGATCCAAACAGCCGGCAGTCAGCTTATTATTGCATCGCTAAGTGCTGTGACTCGACCCGTCAAGCAATTGGTTGGGTGGATGATTGACTGTGTCAGCGCGTCAGACGTGGCACCTGACCTGGCTTAACCATGTCATATGTGTGACACTCACAGAAAACAATGGAGACTTACGCGTCGATGAGCGACAACAGCATTGACAACGCGTTGCAGGTTGGCCAAAGGTCCCACGTCAGAGTGGAGAGTAAGACAGGATCAGACCGAGTGGCAGAAGTCGACGGCATCATCAATCAATTATACGCCTCCAAGGCCAGCCAAGGAGTCATTATTTAGGTTCTTATAATATTAGCTTTATGCTGTAGCTATTAGTTAATTATTGTGGTATTGATTGATGATGCCATCGACTTCTGCCACTCGGTCAGATAGATCTCGGCGTCTCGGTAAAAATAACACATTAGCTTTTTTTCCCCTTCCAGGCAGAATAGACTCTATATTATTGTGGTATTAATGTCCAAGTTATGGGCTTGAAGTGTTATTTATAGTTAAGACTTGTGGCTGAGAGCTTATTCTGGCAGAGAGGACCTAGCAGGGGTAAGCTACCAACAAAATGTTAGGGGATAATTTTGTTGGGTGCTGATGACTGTGAGTTGCCTACATTATAGAGCCAACGGTCCCAACGTCAACGTTCTCAGGTCTCACGTCTTACGACACATTCGCCTCCCAGCACTAAAGGCTTGTCCGACTTCTGCAATCATCTCCAATAACGCCTTTTGTACCTACATCCTTCTAGTAACACCACCATAGAATGGCGCATACCTCAGGCATCACGCCTTTATATCAGGTGTTCAAACCACCTTTCACCATAGAATCGCCTGGATACGAGAAGAAAGCGAATGAAACTATTCCCCGACGACACCCAAGGGCTCGCGATGGCCTGATTGAACGCCCATCAGAAGATGTTCGCACTGTTTTCGACATCATTCGCCGCAGCGCACGAATGTTCCCTGATAGCAATGCTGTTGGTTCTAGAAAGCTAATTCAGCTCCACAAAGGAACATATCAGTTCGACAATAAAGTAGACGGCAAGGTTCAGAAGGTGGAAAAGGAATGGACATACTTTGAGTTATCAGGTTATTCTTTCTTGACGTACAAGCAGTATGAAAAGCACTGTCTTGAAGTCGGCTCAGGCCTACGAAAGTTGGGACTTGGACGAGGTGATAAAGTATTTCTGTTCGGGTCCACGAGGTATGAACATCATCTACAGAGCGTTTTGATCACAGTCTGACCAGCTCGACTTAGTGCGCAATGGATCGCTATGTCGCATGCTTGTGCTACCCAATCCATGTCAATCATCACAGCTTACGACTCTTTTGGATCGAGTGGCCTTGAACACAGTCTCATCCAAACTCAAGCTGAGGTCATGTATATCGACCCATATCTGCTCAAAACTGCTTCAGAGCCTCTCAAAAAGTCAAAGGTTCACACTTTGATCGTGAATGAAGCATCCATCTTCGGCGGGTCGGAACTTCTCGAAGATTTCAAGACCTCACATCCAAAGAGCAAAGTGATAAGCTTCGATGACCTTTGCAAGGCTGGCCAGAGAGAAATGGTAGATCCTGTTTATCCTGAACCCGATGACCTGTATTGTGTCATGTACACTTCCGGATCTGGGGGCGTTCCAAAAGGCGTGCGCATTGCGCACCGCAATCTCATTGCAGGCAGTAATATCACCTCCATTTCCTTCTCGATAGTCGGTGCTAATGTACATTCTAGTTGCCGGTCTCTACACTTGCGTCTCCGACTGCGTCACCCATAACGACGTCTTGCTTGCATATCTTCCGCTTGCTCATGTCTTGGAAATGGCCCTCGAAAATCTCGGTTACTATTTTGGCGGCGCCATTGGCTATGGCAATCCACGAACCCTTTCCGATACGTCTGTGAGAAATTGCGCTGGAGATATGCGTGAACTGGCCCCTACAATTATGCCCGGTGTTCCACAAGTGTACGAGACTATTAGAAAAGGTGTCATGGCTCGACTCAACGCAAGCGTGCTTCTACGGACCTTGTTCTGGCGCGCCTTTGCATACAAGAGCTTCATGGTTAAGCACAAGCTACCTGGCGCTTGTTTGCTTGACAACATCGTCTTTGGCAAGGTTCGAGAGATGACTGGCGGCAGAATCCGCTTCCTTTTCAACGGCAGAAGCGCCATCTCTCTGTCGACCAAACACTTCCTGTCCCTCGTTCTTGCTCCCATGTTCACGGGTTATGGTCTCACTGAAACCTGTGCAAACGGATCATTAGGATCCCCCCTTGAGTTTACCCTGCATTCGATAGGTACAATCCCGGGATCCATCGAGGTCAAGTTGGTATCTGTCCCGGAATTCGGCTACTCTGCCGATACGAAGATACCCCAAGGTGAGATATTGATCAAGGGCGGGCCCGTTATGCTAGGATACTATGAGAACGAGGAAGAAACCAAGAGAGGCTTTACTGAAGATGGTTGGTTCAAAACTGGAGATGTTGGCGAGTTCGATACCGATGGTCATCTTCGCGTGATCGACCGCATCAAGAACCTGGTCAAGTTACTCAGTGGCGAGTATGTTGCCCTAGAGAAGCTGGAGGCGATCTATCGGGGTGTGCAGGGCATTATGAACGTCATGGTTTATGCCGACTCTGACCACTCCCGACCTATTGCTGTCGTGATGCCCAACGAGACCTCTCTTATCCACATGGCTCGCGAGATGGATATTGATGAGCATAGCATGCACAGTGATCCTAGGATTCAAGAGGTTTTGCTCAAGGATTTGCAGGCAGCTGGGAAACGGGGCGGTCTATCAAGTGCCGAGATTGTTGCTGGTATAGTGATAACACCAGAAGAATGGACTCCAGCAAGCGTAGGTTCACCCAAATTCCGGCACGTGAATCTTGCTGACTTAACTACACAGGGCCTTGTCACTGCTACTCAGAAACTTAACCGGCGCGCTATTAATGCCAGATATAAGAGCGAGATCCACGAGGCACTCAAGAACTCCTGAATGGTTGCATATATACTATGGACGAAGGCACGCATGTAGTTTAGGATATAAGCTCTCGGTAAGACTTGGTAGTTGCAACGTTGTTGTATATTTTTGGATCCCACTCTGTATGATTGAAGAATTGAAGTTTCGAGTTCCAATTACTAAACTATTTGACCGGTTCCTTTGACATATAATGATTCCTATAGAATGGCTATTCCCACTGCAATACTTGTGCAGATAGCAAGAATGATGGGGCAAATCCCACAAGCTGTCCCGAGACCCTCGCCATTAGTCATAATTGAAGTCAATGGAGTTCATGTCTGGGTTCATAACGAAGCAAAATCCCGCCCTGGAGAGTGAAGTCCGATTCTGGCGCCCGTCGGTTCACTTGTGTATCAGCCCATACTTCCTGGGCATGCGCACACGATCTGAAATGACACAAGAACTCCTCCCGCGAGTACACCCGATCCCTATCATTAAAACCCCATGGAGGGTCAAGACCTCTGATCGCGCGTTCATACTCTTCAACGCGGAACTGGCATCCTTTGCAATTCATCCCTGTTTCCACCCTGTCATCACTCAAATCATACCACGGAAACGCGGTAGCAGCCATATACCGGTAGCAAAAGTCATGTCTTATTTCGTCGTGCGATTGATCTTGCGGTTGATGCGATAGTGCCGACGCTGGGATCACTCGTGAAGAATCAAGAGATCTGAGCTTTTCGATGACAGGCTTGGCTTGTACGAGGTATCTGGGTCTCTTGACGCTAGGCCACGGCTGTAGAGAGTATTTTCCGTAGACCACTCGTAGTTTAGGTCCACAAATCTTTTCAATCTCCTTGCTTGAGCTGTGCACTGCTTTCGCAAACACTTTGGGTACCGGGATAGGGAGAACGTGCAGGTCGATAGAGATTTGTAGGCAAGTAAAGCAGCATCGCTGACAAGTAATAAGATATAGGAACGTTGCAAACTTTCCGCAGATCTCACACTTGTTGCTGACGAGCGCCCGATAGAAATGGGAAATGGTAAAAGCATGACCTAGCTCTGCCTTTAGCAGCGGTTTCAGTCCCTGAAGTCCATGCTTGACCACAGTTTTGTACTCGCGCGATGCTGTCGTTATGCTGCGTGCACGGTTGTTGACGCGTCGAAAACGCAGATATGAGAGAATGTCAAGTCCTTGAAGTATCATGAGAGTTAATTCCTCTGGCAGCCGACTCAGGATACCGAGGTTTGACGATGAGGCGCTGCCCGGAGCAGACAGCAGAAATGGTGCATCGATCTTTCGCTCATTTGTTCGTATCAGGACCCTGTCGAACTCCTTCCTGTGATATGTACAGGCGTCGATAATTGCGACTCCATCCTCTCCGATGACCGGGTTAGTTGCCATTACTGATTTCAACAACGACTAATGTTTGATGATGAAAGTTACGCGAAATGAACTTTGAGGTATTCGATCCGCAAGTGAGTCTCAGATGAACTGTAGGTGAAAGCGCTTAGCGATCTTATATCGGACCTGCCATCCATTTATTATGTGAACGTTGCTCGGCTGTGCATAAGTCACAGGCGAAATCATCCAGACTTTCCCCGCATTTGGGCTGATACCAGTCGTGGGGTGACTCCAGACGTGTCTGCCTTCTCAGGCAGCCTTGGTCCTTCACAACGACCCTCCTTATTGGACCATGCATCTCACCCACAGCCAGAGGCGAACCAAAAATGATTAATTTTCGAGTGAGATCCAGTTGTAAATTCATGACTCCATGTAAGGCGGAAACTTATTCCTGCCTTACGAGCAAACGGATTACGCCCATTTCGTACTAGGGTTTACAACCATCCTGCTACGCCGTACAGCAAGGAAGCCAATTGTGATTACTGCCCAACAAATAAGACAATGAAACGGTAAGAAACCATGTGCAATTCTCAGTCACTAGTATCTAATTTTGCGTTTCCGTTTATGAGGGGTCCCCGAAGTGAATGGTCTCAAAGACTCATAGACCAAAGAAGCTTGTCTATCCCACCGCCTTCATACTGATGAGGTATATGGTATTCTAGTGGAATCACATCTTCGATCCAACCTCCATTTTGCTCTTTGATCTGCATGGCACTCTCACGTGATCTTTTCAGTTCATTAATGATACGTGACATGGTCTGAGCATCGTATAGACCCTCCCTTCTGTGTGATGAGGCAAGCATTTGAGCAGCTCTTGTAGCCACTGAATCGTCTGAGCATTTGATTGCCAGTGCGAACAATGGAGCTACGACTCCGGTTTCCAGTGAGAAATTGCGCCGCGGAGTCTTGGTAGCACTGGGAGAGGCGTTGACCTGTATGGTATGCTCGAGTAAGGTCTCAGCGAGATCGAGTATGTGATGAGCGGCTGGATTAGGCGAAGCACCAAACACGCTATGATCTTGAGGGAACTTTGATTGTAATATCATTTGGCAAACGTGGAAGTGAACCAGAAGTGTTCGAATGCCGTGTAAGGTTTGGGCATTGTGTCGATCTCTGTTTTCGAATTCGTTGATGCCTTCGATCCAGGCATTGTAACCCTGTTCCAAAGAAGACCTCTCTTCCAAAATGTCTAAGCTTAGTGACTCCTTCGCTTCCTGATAGAATTCGGCGTTCTTGTTGACAAAATGATACAACCATCCTTGAAGTTTAACCAGTCGTTGCTGAGCATCTTCCAGCCCGAAGAAGCCTTGCCGCGGTGGCAACAGACCATGATCTGGCTCTTCACATTTGTACTCTGGTGACGCAAGAATCGGTATTCGGTCGTCTTCGAAGAAGCTGGCTTGCATGTCCAGGCGTTCGAAAATAGTGGTCAAGCTCTCGGTGCCCTTGGACTCGTCGGCAACCTTTTCATATTGAGCAGACGCCAGGAGCTTGAGGCCGTTGCTGAGATGTTGGAGTGCGGCATTGCGGTCACCGATGGCGCTTTCGCAGCAATAGAACAAAATGCAGCAGACCAAAGCAGTCCTTGTAGCGCCGTCTGAAGGCTGTGCTATCCGCTTCCCTAATGATCGTAGAGCTTTTCCGTACAGACTCAAAGTTTCGCAACTGGCTACCGATGCTCTGTCAGGACTTGACGATATGTAGTCTAGGTGGAGCGAGCTCATTGCAACCAGGGCCTGCCGCACCACTAGATCTTCGTGTCCAGCCTGCAGCACAGTTTGAGACCAGAATTCCGATGCCAGAAACCCAGAGATATCGTCTGAACCTTGGACACAGAAGTAGTGGAGCAGTCTCCGGTCTTTCTGGCTTCCGGGAATCTTAAATGGGATGGAGTAGCGGGCGATGGGCAAGAGAGCTGATGATCCTGATATCGTAGTTGGGCTGGATTCACTCTCGGAAGAGGCCGATGCAGCGTCGTAGTCACATTTCCACCCAGATCGAAGACATTTCGCGCAACTCGGCTTGCTCTCATCACACTTTATCCTTCTTTTACTGCCAGGATGTTAGTTACTCGTCTCCTCTCTTCTTCTCAAATGTGAAAATGAATGGTAGGAGAAAATGATAAGTCTACTGACCGGCATGTTTGGCAACCTGTCCTCCTCCTTGGAACACTGCTTCTTGTTCTCTTCTGAACAGCCAGTGCATCTCGCGAGGCCATTGTTCGGTGTTTCGTGGTTCCCCGACTCGGACACTCGGCGGAACTGTAGGAAATGAGCCGTAAGCACTAGCGAACAAAGCGACTGGGGTGTTTGCCTGCCATACCCTGCCATTTCCGGCGCCCGACGCTTGGAGAAGTAGAGAATTTCAGATCAATATGCATAAGATGAACATAACAAAAATCATGAGTCTCCCATGGCGGCAGTGCGATTGGTCTCAGCGTAAGCTGGGACTAGTGTATGGATACATATCCTATGGTGCTCGAAAGATCTTATCAATTGCTTCTCCGTTTTAGCCGGATATTATGGATCCTTCGATCCTTCGAAATCTCAGCTAAACCCCTTGCAGAGGTTCAAGGAGGCCTCATCACAACACGTGACACTTCTTGCAATCGAACTGGTATCAGTGTTGTTCTCTAGAAAAACACTGGATATGGCTCGAATAATACGGTGAAGGGCTCAAAATGGAACAATCAGACGCCAGAATAAGCAACCCGCAGATCTCTACAACTCCAGTGCAGCAAAATCATGGCATTGAACTTGAGACAGTAAAAAACGCCAAGGAAAATTCATCATCGAAAGATGCGGAAGCGTTACAAGTTGATGACGGCACGCAGCCAAAGCAGAAAAAGTCTCTGGCCTTCAAATTGGCTTTCACAGGTTTGTCTGCTACACTGTTCGTGTTCCAAGTAGATGCAACAGCACTTGGCATTGCATTACCGGTAAGATCACCCTCATTCTTCATTCTCGTCCCATAATCGTTTTTGTACTGACATGTGTGCCAGACAATAGCCAATGACCTCAGAGGCTCGAGTCTAGAGTCCTTTTGGGCCAATCTTTCCTATACACTATGCGGCCTTGTGATGCAACCTGTATGGGCAAGCATATCCGACGCGTTCGGCCGAAAACCGCCACTCTACGTCTGCATTGGACTATTCTTTATTGGATCAATCACCTTTGCTGTTGCTCAGAACATGAAGACGATAATCGTGGGCCGTGTACTCCAGGGCTTTGGTGGCGGTGGTATCGATGTTCTTATTCAGGTTATCCTCGCCGACATGACAACACTCGAGGAACGATCAAAATATCTAGGTTTGATGGGCATCCCAAATGCAGTAGGCAACATTCTTGGGCCATCTTTGGGCGCATTGTTCTCTACGTATGCCACTTGGCGATGGATCGGATGGATCAATCTCCCCATTCTTGGGTTTGGAACACCCTTGGTGTTCTTCTTTCTCAAGTTACGGCCTGTCACGATGGACGCGTCGCTTGCTAGCAACATCGAACGCCATGACTGGGTTGGAATGGGCCTCGTTGTCTCTGGCATCACTGTCTTTGTGTTGCCGCTAAGTTGGGCTGGCTCCTTGTTTCCATGGGCCGCATGGGAGACCTTGGTTCCAATGATTCTGGGTGTCTTGGTGCTTGTCGCTTTCGTCTTTTACGAAGCGAAGCCTGCAGCACCAATCATGCCTCATCGGCTGTTCCATTCCATCACCGCCAACATGACATTGCTTGGAGGGTTCATTCACGGAGCCATCCTTGTTTCGTTACTCCAGTATCTACCTCTGATTTTCCAAGCCGTGTATCTGGAAACGCCGATCAAGTCAGCTGTCTTCCTGTTACCAACGTCTATCATCAGCGTGTTCATTGCAGTAATCTCTATGATGATGGTACCACTATTTGGAGGCTACACCTGGCTACTGAGGCTCTCATGGGCCCTGTTGGCTCTGGGTACCGGGATTCTGGCAATCCTAAATCTCAATTCGCCTTCATCGATGCTCTATGGACTTCCTATAATATGGGGGACAGGTGTTGCTCTTCTTCGACTCAATCTTCTACCGATGCAAGCCAGCGTCAAGAATGTCGATGATACAGGCGTTGCAATCGGGCAATTTCTCACGATTCGTATGTTTGGAGGTTTGATCGGGTTGACCATCGCCTCTGCAATATTCAACACTGTCTTTGGAAAGACTATCGCCTCAAGCTCGTTGCAACTTGCGGGGCCTCTAGCACCTTTGGGGGACGCATCCAAGGCCGTCGCTTTCATCAAAGAACTCAGGTCCTTGAGCATTCCTCAGAGAATACTTGATGAAGTGCTGAGAGTCTACCTCAAATGTTTTCGCACGATCTTCTACACAATGGCGGGCTTGGGTGCTTTGGGACTGCTGACGTCTATGTTTCTTGAGGAGATTGACCTCAAGAGCCAGGACCGTGGCAATCAGCGTTTTGAAGACTAGGACATGGGCCAAATACCATCTAAACACCAGTCACTGAAGAGACAAATCTGGTATTCCTTCATCCAGATAATGACCGAACAACAACTCTCATATGATTCGACGATAATAGACATACTACTAGATAAATAATTGTAATTCCAAAGTATTCTGAACCTGATTGTTCTGGAAACATCAACTCGTTCTCCTGCGGTCAGATCTAGTCATGGTCGATGCGGATAACAACCTTGGCGAAGTGCTTCTGCTCCTTCAGCTTCCTGTAAGCCTCCTTGGCATCTGCCAGCTCAAAGACTGTGTCATCATATGCAGGTTTGAGCTTCTTCTCATCAATGTATCGTACAAGATCCTTGTACTGATTCTGGCTGCCCATAAGGAACCCACGAATAGTGCACGTGAACATAAGAGCCCCCATCATGGGCACGGGCTCGGTGTCTTGCGCAACAGCACCAACGACTTGGATAGACCCATAAGGACGAACTGCTTCGAGTGACTGCTTGAGTGTCTCGTTACCGCCGATATCCACGACCATATCGAAACCTACTCCATTGGGAGTCAAAGATCGCGCCTCTTTGCCCCAGCCAGTAGCATTCTCGCGATAGTTGATAACATGAGTTGCACCGAGCCTTTTCAACCTATCTGCCTTCTCTTGAGATGACGTAGTCGCCACGACGGAGAGCCCAAAGGACGATGCGAGTTGCAGGGTTGCTACACTGACACCTCCAGTTCCCTGAACCAGGATCCAGGTGTGTGGTCCAATTTGGTCTTTGCCGAGTTCCGAGAGAGCGTTCCAAGCTGTGATCCAGGTGACGGGGAGAGTGGCAGCTTCAAGCCAATCGAGAGACTCTGGCGCATGAACCAGAGCGCCTTCCGAGAATACCCCATGGGTACGAAGCGTTCCTTTGGTCCCCAAGCCGAGCATGGCCGGTACATCTGACATGTTGACATCAGCATCGCTGCCTCTCTCCACTACCACGTCTGGTGCAGGGAAAGTGATGACTCGATCTCCAAGTTTGTAGTCTTTTACAGAAGAGCCAATAGCTTCAACTGAGCCTGACCCGTCACATAACGGGACCATTGGTGGGGTGATGGGACCAAATTGCTAAAATTTGTCAGTTGATATCAACGACGATTTTGGACATTTATATACGTACAGCTGATGCAGCAATGACGAGGTCCCGGTAGTTGAGACTGGCTGCATGGACTTTGACTAGAACATCATGTGGGCCTAACTCATCTTGAGACGGGATGGGCACGTTGGTCTCATACTTGAGCGACTTCTCGAAGCCCTGCTGGTCGTCAAGAATCCACTGCCTTGCCATGATGGGTTGTTCTGAGGGTCTGGAAATGACGAGGTAAGATGTTGTTATTAGGATGAAGAAGTACGCGGGTTATTATGACCGGTGTTCTTGTGTTTAAATATCTGATCGCTGATAGATGCATTCCTTTCCTATTGTTGACTCAGCCAGCGGAGGGTTGCGGATCTGCGGGGCGTGATAACAAAGCAATCCGCAAGCAGGAGCGGAACTATCTACTGAACTTACGTCACCTGTCTTTTACTCATTTATCATACTTAGGCATTCCGATTTGCCGAGAGGCTGATCCGAAGTTCCTTGATTCTTCTCGTCTTACCCTGAGCGTTCAGATCTCCATCTTGCCATCCTGTCGGGGCCAATATCGAGTTCCATCATACATAACGCAAAGTCGTCAATATCTCCAGCTTCCATCTCCATCATAACCTTGTCATGATCATTCCTGCACAAAAAGCCAATGTTTCTCTCCGCACACATCTTTGTCCAAGTGAACGCTGACCTCGCTTCCCAAAGCCCCTTTCTCGTGGTGATGGGCAAAGTCCCATAACAGGGCCCAGATTCAGTCTTTAGCAGCTCATAGCCTGATTGAAGGCCCATGGATACACACCATGTCCTTCGAACAGACTCTGACAGTACCCATGAATGCCATAGTAGTTGCTCAGGGGAGAACTGCCCCAAAAGCATCGGCAATGTGAAATATTGAGGGCTCACGTTCGTGAGATGGTTCTTGATAATCATATCTCCATTATTAGTCGCCTCGAGAGCATCATTCATCATCTCTTTCGTCCAATCATGCAAGGTCTGGAGATGCTGCTCCGCCTTGTGACGTTGGCGCAGATCACCGTCCAGTAGTCGAATCGTGCAATAAACCAGGAGTGCTTGTACACGGCTCAGGCTATTCAGAATGTCTCCAGGCGTGTTTCTGTCGCTCTCAGACACCAATAACCTCTCTGCCTTCTGCTCCGCAATCCGGAGCACCATCTCACTGGTCTCCGGTGTCCTTGACAAATATGAAGACAGTGCTGTGAAAGCATCGCTGATGCAGCCAGGGAGACTACTTCTGTAAAGCTCATGATGCACAAATACATTACTTCCGCTTCTTGTCCAATCGCCCAGCCAGTCTCTTGTTTGGTATAGAAGCCCCCGGATCATGTCCGTCGTGAGATGCGCCCTATTTGACTCTTCAATCGGGACTGCCCTCCAAGATTCCGGATCGAGGAACCAAGCCACTTTTAGGTCTTCTAAAGAGATAGCACCCGGAGTGTTATGATAGTCTATATGACTGTCCACTCGTAAGTCTACCAGCTCAGACCAACTGTCATCTTGGCTTGATTGCAACAACTGTGGCTCTTGCAAGGCTGCCGATGAAGAAGCTTGTGCCCCGCAGTTCTGTGTAGCTTGGTAGACAAAGGTGTTGGGTAGAGGCTCATAGAGACAGTCCAAGCCGCGAAGGTCACAACGGCGGCATTTGGGCTGCTGCTTGGTGCACTTTCTCTTGGACAATTGACAGGCCTTGCAGGCTTTCACCTCGTATCGAGTCAATCCTGTCCGGCTCATCGCTGGTTCCATGTGGAAACAAACTTTCTGATTCTCTGTTATGGTAAGCGCATGGTTGTTTGCGAATGATGAGGCCTGCTTAGAGAACGACTGCTGATGAGTTGCTGCTCGTTGCGGTTAGTCTTCCGCTGCTTGTCTCCACCAGCTGATTAATGACATTTGCAAGCCGTGAACCTGACTTGCCTGGGTATGGGAACACTCAATACCAACGACGACGATGGGGCAGCTCCGAAATACAATTCTTGGTCATTTAACGATTATGTTCAGCCGATGACATAGCATGAATGATGATTCAATTGTCCGTTTAATTGAGTGGGGTCGTCTCGAAATGGTCCAATCCCCGAAACAGAATCAACTTGGCGTGTCTTTCTGTTCTGCGACCAGCATCAACGAAGTGACGGCCCCTCGCAAACAAGTCAAAAGGCTTCTTATAACGACATTAGTAAAGCTTCAGATAAAGGAGCAATTGTTTAATTGGTTCTTTGAGCTACGAAGTATGACCAAGACCTCTCAGATAGGGAACATTAGAGAGATCCCGACCAGCCAGAACAAGATGACGAGAATCCGCAACCTCCACAAAGGAAAAGGAGAGCAGTATACATGTGATTATTGCATTGGATAGCTCTTGTAAACCAATACTCACTTCTGTGTAGTGCTTATGAGCTTCCAACTGCAGATACGGCATCCAGCCATTGGATTCACCTTGCTGCAGCGTAAAGACTGATCAAGGAAAACCCGTCGAATATGACACCTGTGCGGAGCTCCCTACAGGGGTCTAAGAAACTCCAATGCGCGCCCACCAAGGCCAACCGACTCAGCACGACGTATTGGAAGCATCTCCTCACGTCTTAGGAGGGTACGAGAACCTTGTACTAGGTTTTTCTCCTATCAGCTTTACACTGTAGCAAGGCGAATACAAGAGCGGAGTCTATGTCAGGTAGTTCTGTCAGTCAAGAACTAGAGTGCAACAGCGATTGCCAAAGCCACAAGGCCTATCCAAGGTTCAACACTTCCAGCCGCGTCCACAATTACCGCGGGCTCAGTCTCCATCCCTGGAGTTCCACCATCAGTTGTGGTACCACCCATACATGCACCAGCATCGCAAGTGGCTATTGGTTGTTGATACGACGTCGCCAGTCCAGATGTTGTATCAGGTTGAGAGGTTTCGGAATTCGAAGCCATCTGTGATTGTTGCGAGATTGAGCTCGACTGAGTAACTTGAGTGGTGACAGAAGCAGGGACAGAGCAAGCAGTCGGAGTGACCAGTGATCCCCTTCCATTGAAAGGGTTGTACCCGAGACATTGGGCGTACTGTGCGGCACAGCTGGCCATGTTGGCGTCTGGTGCGGTGCGACAGGTGTTATAGTCATCGTTACACTCGGTGACACAGTCGTATGTTTCAGGTATACTGGTGTCTGTACTAACAGCAGGAGTCGTGGTGTCAATACCAATAGGGGAAGATGAACTCCCGCCATATGCGGGTGCTGAGGAGCTGGAAGCGCTTGAGCGCGTGTTGATAACAGCGGTCGACTCGACAGTTGCCGTGTTTGAGGCACCTGTAGCGCCTCTGGAACATGCTGTCGGGGCTGTGATTGAGTTTGAGCCAAGGAATGGATTGAATCCCAGACATCGTTCGTAGTCCTCTGCACAAAATGCTTGACTGCCGTCCGGCTCAACTCTGCATGAGTTATATGCATCGGTGCATGCAGTTGCGCACTCATCGCGCTTGTAAAGGCGCGCAGATGCCAGGCCCGTAAGGGCAACAAAGAAAACGACCGTGGACTTCATTGTGTGATGAAGTTGATGTTAAGTGAAGAAAGCCAGTGGTAGTGGAGGGATGTTGGAATGTGCGGAACCTAGATCCTGGAGGAATCATACTTATATCCATATCCATTTTACTCAATTTATTGCATCTAATCGTCTTGAGTATACTAAATTGCCTTGCGCTGTTGGTTTGTTCCTCAGCTGCTAGCATCCGAGACATGGTTCTCATTCATGCCGGTTGCGTCTTATGCCATCGGCAATCGTGGATTTGGTGCAGCTAACCGGATAACATGGGTTTGGTAGTTATTGTACTGAAGTGGCACCATTGAATGCGGTGTTAGCCTATTGCAGACTTGTACTATTGGACATGAGGTTTTGATCTGGCTGTTTTCGGTTACTGAAACGACGCCACCAACAATTCCCAACACAACGCAGAAGTCACATATTTACATCTTTATATAAAATTAGTCCTTCGTTACTACAGCACTTAATAGTTCATATTGTAGAGTGCTCGACACGGTCAGTGTTGTGAGGGAATACCAGGTCTTGTCCCGGTCACCAAGCCCATCGACCAAAACATCCGAGCAGCTTCCATGCAATATACGAAGGACAAGTTCGAAGCTTACTCAAGAGTCAACATTCAATGAATCAATAAATCTATCTCCATCTCAAGGCTTCTGACAATTCTATAAAAACCAAAAGTAAATCGTACATCCAGACTTACCTTGTTATCTACTCATTTCCACAGTCGTATTCCAAACGCATGCCATCTAATACTTGAACTTGTCTTATAAGATAGCACCTGCAAAAGCATCGTCTCAAGCATTGGCGGGGTGATGGTTAGAGTCATCAGACTCAAGTACCGGAGCATCGCGATTCCCAGGTATGGGGGTCCTTGATGGAGTGAAAGAACTTGACGTCGTCGACGTGGTGCTGTAAGCACCGCCAGAGAATTCATCACCAGTCACAGTTTCAACAACCCAAGTGGTGTACTTACCTTCTCCACTGACCTCTTCATACTCAGACTTCCAAGTACGAGTAGTTTCGCCACTTGGTGAATGCACCGAGTCAACAGGGGCCTGCTCTTCGTCAAGAACATGCTGCGCGATGCCGGCATTTGGACCTGACGACACATCCAGACCGGCGTTTCTACGAGCAATATCTATAAGGTCGTTGTGGATACTCATAACAAACACCATGAACTGTTCATCGTAGTAAGTTAAAGATCCAATGCCCCGAGAAGCCCGAATCACTTCGGCGAGGTTGTCAAGGAATCGGAGCTGTCTTTCTGGGTCGGTGCGAGCAGCATACGCAACCAGGACCTCAAACTCGACGAATGTCAAGCCGACATTTCCTCCAAGAGCACGCACAATGTCATCAGCTGCCTGGCTCATGACGTCTTTGTCAGCGTTTGACCACTCTTGTTGGCCGCGTTCCGTTGCGATCCAGAAGGCCTCTTCAATGATAGCAGCTCTGTCGACGCTAAACTTGTTCCAGATAGATTCCATGTTGGTGTTGGAAGCTGGGAGAACGATTTGAGGTTGGTAGAAGTGCTTAGAAGGTTGCAGGTGGAGATTGGAGTATTGAGAAACTGAGTTGAATAAAAATGAAGGATTGGCAGGTCAATCTGGTTCCCTTCTTATAATCCGAAGCTATTACGGTTCTGTATCATGCATTGGGATGCCTTTCAAGTTGTTCACAGACTCTCCATAGATTGTGCAGCTTATTCCTTTGTGTCTATCTGATCACTGACCACAAAGATTGTTGTTAACTAAGAGTAACGCATTGTTTCCTAGCCTGTCCCTTTGAACAACAGTGAGAGCACGGAATCGGAAACCTTTGGAAAAAGGCACCCAGTCACCCATTTTTCTGTTCAAGTCGATGAGTAAATGTTAAAAGAATTTCAGTTTGATGGCTGTTCTGCTTTATGAGCGTGGAGAATAACGGCCCTTTGTGCTCTTTACACAAACCTCGGTTTTTTGGCCTATGATTGTACAGAGCCATAGTCATAGAAATGCTTCTCTAGATTGGTTCATGTTCAGTCTCGCTGCCTTCTCAAAGGGCCAGCTAGCATAGCTCAGTTGATATCTTCAGAGTCTCACGTTTTATACTCCAAAACGACAGTTCTGATTCTATTCTATGTTGGCATTATTTGACATTAATGGGCAAACCTGAAGTCCAGCCTCTTGTTGCCTTCATCTTTGGTCGTTCTTAGATACTCATCCCTCTCTTCATCCGGCATGGCACTCCAAATGCGTTCTCGCGTCTTGTTTCGCCATATGTAGTATCCCTTGATGAAAACAGTCATCACAACATTCCAGCCGACGAGTGCAAGAAGAACCTTGTTTCCCCGTCGATACAAAGGCTTATCATCGTCACGATAGATCTGTATGCGCTGTTAGTCTTGTACTAAGTAGCGATGGATGCGGATTTCGACTGACCTGGGATGAGATTACAGAGCTGGCCTGGCATATCATGTTGTACATGGCACTGCCCACTGTTCTAGTGCGAACAGAACCAGCGTTTCGCGATGTTAAACTGACTGCAGAATTGTCAGTAAGTAAACCAGAACCGAATGAACGTGTTGTCCGCACCGTTGATTGAGTGAATGTATGGGAAGCCAATCATCAAGATTGTCGCTGAATACCATGCCCAAGGGCTGGCATTTGCAGGAAGCAGCTCGAGAGTCAAGAGCAACACAAAACACCAAAAGGAATAGTACAGCAAAAGGGCCATTCGGTTATTGATCTTCTCCGAGTACCAAGATATAAGGATCAAATGCGCGAGGAAGAGAACATATCCAGGAATGGTCAACAGATTCGTCTCGAATGTGCCGAATCCCAAAGCCTTGAGGTTAAGGGTAAGATATGCAGTGACGGGGTTTGTGGGAATCAGCATGGTCCAACTGATCATGTATAGTGGCCAGAGGTCATAGTCCATGAATGCATCCCAGAGGAGCTTGAGTGTAAGACCTTGACGATTATGCATGCCTCCCTGTACCGCCATGTCAGTGTTACTGGTGACTAGGTGAAGGCACGGAGTTCACTTACCTTGCCTGGATCGTCGCGCAAGACACGGTTGACCATGATGACTTCTTCTCTTTCGGTGAACCAGCCGTCTTTACCACGGAACCAACTAGCTGTTTGTGTCGGACCAGGAGGGAGGTAGAACCAAGATACCACGCCGATGAGGAACGTCAGTGTACCCTCGAGAACAAACAGCCAGCGCCACCCCTCCCAGCCTCCGACCGAGCGCATATGAAGAATTCCATATGCGAGGAACGCAGCGACGATGAAAGTACCATTGGAAGCGCAGTAGAAGAAGCCGACGCGCATCGGGAGCTCTTTGTTGGTATAGAAGTACGACAGGTACAGCAGGGCATCTGGAATGAACCCTCCCTCAATTAGTCCCAGCAGAGCGCGAGTTGCATAAAAGCTTTGCTTGTCTTGGACAAACCCTTGGCAGATGCCGATGATACTCCACGTTACCATCTGAATCGGGATCCAAACATCAGGGCCGAGCTTCTTGGAGATCATTTGTGATGGCACTTCTGCAGACAAGAAGCAGAGGTAAAAGATCATCATGCCATAGTTGTAATCGTTGGTGTTAAGGCCAAGGTCGTCTAGCATGCCATCACTCAGAGCCTGTGAGATATTGCCACGGTCGAGTTGTAGTGCAAAGAACATGAGGCAAACCCAAGAGCAGATTCTCTTGTCTAGCTGGAAGGCAACAAGTAGGTCAGCATAGCATCAAGTTGTCAACGGAGGATGAGCCTACCCGTCTGACTAATTTCTTCTCCTCCTTCTCTGTCCATTCGGCAGTTGGGTCATATCGATGGATACCTTCATATTCTGGAATAGGCTTGTACAGCTCTGTAGCTCCTCCAGACACGAATGTGTCGCCGGTGAAGTAGGCGCGCTTCTGTGTCGAACCGTAGTCGTAATCTGAATCGGACGCCTGAATGATCGGGTCGTCGATAGTGGTTGACTTCTTGCCTGCCATATTGCGAGGCCCTAGATGCGAATTGTATCGGTACTCGGTTAACTACAGCCTATTGTTATGCCAAGCTCGGTATATAAGTAGCTCTGGACTTTTTTCCAAGACTCGTTATTGTATATCGTGCACTGGGGACTAAATGGTGCAATAGCATAGATTGTCTGGCATAAACTGTCTAGAGTGGGTTTTCAACCATATATGCCACGCATAGGCGATGGTGCAATCTCTCGGAGGATATGTCTAATCTCTCCAACATGGCATTGGCTGAAAACTCCAGACCTGCTAGATCTTATGCCGATGTCCCGCGTAGTTCGGTGGGTCGGCATGGACAAGAGGATAGAATGAGACATGAAACAGATGACTTCCGATAGAGGAACCAGTCTTACTCGCGCGATTTGGACCCCATATCATTGTTAAGGCCGCAGTTGTGGTCCTTCGGGAAATGGTGGCTCTGCTGATCAAGTCGACTTGTTCGTCAGTTGGTCTGTCTGTAGAACGCGTGCGAGGGTCACTCGATGGCGTCAACAACGTTACCGAGAGTTTCTCCGAAAGGAATAATTGTCGTCAAATATTCGTAGTAAACGAGCTTTTCTTACTCATGCCGCCCTTCTTTCCAATCTCGAGGGGCTTATACTCGTCCTTTTATCTTCCTGTTAACCATGCTTCAGCGGCAATAACAGCATTTCAACAACGGCGTTCTCCGTTTCAGTGAGATCAAGAACTGTCTCAAAAGGTGGAGACAGTCACGAAGGGAGCCACTAGGAAGCATGGTCTAATCTCCCCGGGCCTGGTCCCTCGCCCGCTCCATTTGCTCCGAGATGCTCAAGGCCACCCACAGGACATTTCGAAGGCCAGAGTTCCATTGACAGATGGAAGGGTCTTCAGATATGAAGGAATTTTCTGTCGATCGTAAGATAGGAGAATAAGTTGTGATAAAGAGTAAATAAAAAGAAGTTTTATCCTCACGTCGCTTCAGTAGGTTCCGGCCTTTGTGACACTGGTCAATTACTTGATCCTCCCACTGCCATCATAAATTATCGATACAGAAAAGATCACAGCACATAGACACAGGCGATGAAAGGATTACGTTATTGCAGTAATCAAAAAGCAACACTCTTCAAAAATTATCCCAAGTCAATGCAAATAATACATACCGTAAGGGGATAGGCATGCTTCAGGCTAACACAACACACGAGATCCCAGAAGTCAATTACCGATATCCTACCCTGGAGACAGCGTTTGTCTCAGGGGAACGCAACTGAGGCCTCACTGAAGCTCCGGAAAGCAACCAATCAATCAGAGCCACGCCCGGTTAGCTCAATCGGTAGAGCGTGAGACTCTTACGAGTACGCGATCTCAAGGTTGCGGGTTCGACCCCCGCATCGGGCTGTTCCTATAAAAACGATTGCGAGCAATAGCGAGGCATCTCTTTTTTGCCATTTTGGAACATGCCCGAGTACTTGTCCCTTTTGCAAGTGACGATGACATTGTTCTGCAGTAGCGCGCTGTTCGTTTTTACGTCGGCCCCACTGTTGGTCTCAGGCGATGAGCAGCTCCAATGCGTGTTGAGCTTCATCCAGCATCTTCAGAAACCGAAGACACAGAACGAAAATGCACTGGAAGCCATTAAGCGGAGATCTCATCACATTTTGACCCGTTTCAATGAATGTAAATGGCACTCAATCCGAGCCAGTTCCACTGACCGCGTCATCTTGGTGGGTTGGTCAAGGGGCCAACACCACTAGACCCTCAATATTCGCATTCAATACGAAAACTATCATCAGAACCTCCTTAAGAACGCCGAAATGTCTGTTGCCCCCAGAAGAATCTTTCTGACCTCGCAGCCTTCCCATTGTTAGAAAACTTGTAATTGTTTACTATAACCTTTTTTGTCTGTTCTTGACGTCGTTGTTCACATACCTATTGTTATCCCTCTTTTAGTTTTCGTATCCGAAAATGAGCGGAGATGGACCATACGGACCCGTTGTCAACGGCACTCAGATCGTTTTTTTCGAATACCTGCCCAACAAACCTGCCGCCATCTCCTTCGTTGTACTCTTCGGCATTGCCACTTTAGCCCACCTGGTATGCCTCTTTATCTTTCGAGCCTGGTTCTTCATTCCATTCATCCTTGGTGGTATCTGTAAGTAGACTAAATACCTTTGGCGTTGGTACATCCTGACACAGATCTAGGTGAGATATTTGGTTACTTCGGTCGAGTCCAAACCCACGATACTCCCGATAAAGCAGGTCCCTTTATCCTGCAGAACGTCCTTCTCCTCGCCGGAACACCTTTCCTAGCCGCGACGATCTACATGAGTCTTCGGCGTGTTGCCACCGCGCTTGATTCGCAACATCTTTCGTTCATAAGTCTTCGATGGTTAACGAAACTATACGTCCTCATTGACATTGCATGCATTGTCAGCCAGTTCATAGGGGCCATCATACCGGCTTCAGGCGAACCAGATGCCATCACTAAAGGCCGAACTATTCTTATTGCTGGTCTGATAGTTCAACTCTGCGCCTTGAGCATCTTCATTCTCACGTCACTGTACCTATACATACGCATAAGACAAGAGACCGGGCCGTTCTTGGACTCGTCCCTGGTACGGTGGCGGCGATACTTTAGGACTATAGAGGCTGTAACGGTCATCATGATCATTCGCAGTATTGTTCGTGCAGTCGAGTATCTTCAAGGACAAGGGGGGTTCGTCATATCTCACGAAGTCTTCATATACCTCTTTGACGCCTTACTCATGTTCCTGGTCATGCTCTTGTTTTTGATCGTTCATCCAGGACGGCTGGTCAAGAATGGTACAGGGATGAAGTGGAGGGGACAGACGCAAATCCATGAGGCGGCTGAGGATATCATGCATTTACGGGAGTATCGCGCTTAGAATGTTCCCATAATTAAGGGATCGAGAATGAGTTTCATTACGTAAATAGAGTCAGATTGCAATGACTTTCGAGTGATTCCAATATACCGATAGTGCATTCATTGCAGTCTTTCAGACGATTGCAGAGAACATTGAGTGGAAGCATAGCGAGATTAGTCAGACCGAAATAAATACTACAAGAAAATATGGCCTACTGATTATAATGAGTTCAAGTCAGTATGCTAGCTTTCAGACATCTCTGACGAGTCTGACAAGCATGCGGTCATGTCGAGGTCGATTTGGGCGATGCGGTGGAGGGCAGCGACGCGATAAGCACCGATAAGATAAGATAAACAACCATACCCCGCTGTTCATTGGCCGATTCCTGATGTCATCTCGCGACGATATCAATTTTCGGCCTTTGCTCATCTCATTGCTGGAACATCTTCAACACCACTAGCACTGCCCATCATGTTTGCTCTTCGACGGATCATTGCCCGCCCTATGTTGCGCGTAGCGACGCGTCAGATTCACGTGACGCCACGTCGCTTCGCCTCTGCCGATCAGCCGCCCAACATGCAGCAGCTCGAGTCAATGATGAATGACCCTCATATTCGTGAGACGTTCGAGAAGTTGAGCCGCCATCCCCCGGCTATTGAGGCCATGCAGAAGATGGGAGATATCATCAAGAGCAAGGGTAAGGAAGTCTGGTGAATCAATTGCAGCGTCGGCTGATTATCTGGCGCAGGGCTTGCGACTTCAGGGCCACCGAGCAAGATGGACATCATGAAGCTCATGATGGATAAGGAGTTTCGCGATGCTGCTACAAAGGTATGTTTGGAATTCGAGTGTTGACTTGTGTGTTAATTGGGATCGCAGTTGACGACCGAAATGCAAAATGCTGGTGTTGAGATTAACCCTGACGTGAGCTTTCCTACCTGCTTCATTCTTGCGCACGTCACTGACAATATCCCTAGGTCTTCATGAAGATGATGCAGGGCGAGAAATGAAGTTGATGACTTCGTGCGGGAAAGTATTGGATTTATAGCAGCCATGCCACGAGTTGCGATGGTTTCGAGAACATAGTGTCATTAGCTCTCACATATCGAGAAAGACAGTGAATATTATTCAGGACTTGGACCAAATTGTCTTGCAACATCACCATGTGCTAGACCTGCATATGAAACTGGTCGATTGTGAATTGCATCATGTGATAATCGCATACTCAGTATCGAGACATTGAAGTTCGTAACAATCGCCCGGTTGATCAATCCCCGGGCCATATCTGCACATGTTCCATTCTATTTCGGGGCAATACTTCTCATGCACGTCGATCCGAGACCCCGGACCTTAGCTTCCGACGGACACCATCGGAGTCACCGCTCGATAGTTTCATGCCAAATCCCAATCAAGAAGGCACAAGAGGTCAAAGCTGAGAAGGGAAATTGAATGCGAGGCATCGAATTGACATGAGATTGTTCTCTCTGCCGCTTTGACACATTTAGATGAGTATGTCGCAGAACCAAGTTTTCTCACCGGCTCAGCAAGCCACATATCTGAAACAATCCGAAAAGAGATTATCACCAAGGGAGTCACATAGCTTGATCAATTCTCCAGAGAAATAACAGAGATATTAGACATAAAAACAAGCTTCTACAGCAGAATACTGGATTGGCTGTCGCTGGCAATTGGTGAAATTGCGGGATTTTTAGTTCACGCTAGCCCAGGCCCCTTGACTCTCCTCCCGTCATCAGAACACGGCTTAGAGGTCTAGGCCACAGCTGAACTCTTTGGTGATTCAGGAGCCAATCAATTTTGTCACTCGCCTAGTTTACAGCTGCCTATTGAGGAAGCTGGTCCCAGATCTTCACAGGCAATCGCGACTTGGTCTGGCGTTCGCTAGGTGATCCGAGCTAGTGAGAAGCTGAACCAAGACATGCATCGTAGCCTAGGGAACTTCCAGGGCGGTTTGGCGCCGTTGGTCTTAAACATTGGTATGAATGGCGGTCGCTTGATTAACGGTCAAGTGAGGGGTGTTTATCTTTGGAGTAGGATAACATACTAGCTCGTGCAACATAAAGAGACAAGTACCCATCCTGCTGTTCCGGTCCCGTCAGTCTTCATTAATGTTTCCATTGACCTACGCCTGCCTATACCCCAATAATTGATCAACAACGGCAAGATGAGGTACTCAATCACACAGCTCACAGCTGTTCTTACAACTCTATCCACAACAGCACAGTCTGCTGTCCTTCCACGGGAGAAGCAAGGGTCCTGCACGAAGACCAAGGTCGCTATCCTCGGAGCCGGCGTCGCTGGCATAGCAGCAGCCCAAAACTTGACAAATGCAGGCATTGACGACTTCATCATTGTAGAGTATAATGACTACATTGGTGGACGAATGAGGAAACAATCATTTGGCAAGAACGCAGATGGAAAACCTTACACTATTGAGTTTGGCGCCAACTGGGTTGAGGGCATCGGATCAGAAGCTACACATGAGAATCCCATCTGGCAGTTGGCAAAGAAGTATGACCTAAAGTCGAATAAGTCCGACTACGAGAACTACTTGACATTTGATCACAAAGGACAGACAAACTGGAGCAGCACGATCAAAGACCTGGAAAAGATCTATAGCAAGGCTGAAGCCGAAGCTGGTCGTCTCCTGCTCAGTAACTTGCAAGATACTTCGGTACGTGCTGCCATTCGTTCGGCCGGATGGCGTCCAGACAAGGACGACATGCACGCGCAAGCTGCCGACTGGTGGAAATGGGATTTCGAATCCGCTTGGACACCTGACGAGAGTGGTCTCATCTTCGGAGTGGCTGGCGGTAATGCAACATTCGGCTATTTTAGTGATGTCAGCAACCTCGTCGTCGACCAACGTGGCTTCAGCACCATCATACAAGAGGAGGCCAAGACGTTCCTCAAGAACGGCGATTCCAGACTCCGACTCAAGACCACTGTCAAAGGCGTCAAATACGGAAAGGACGGCGTGAAAATCACAACGGAAAAGGGTGATTGTATCCAGGCCGACTACGCCATCTGCACCTTTTCGCTGGGCGTGCTTCAGAGCAACACCACTGAGTTCAGCCCTCCTCTCCCTGACTGGAAGCAGAGTGCCATTGACCAGTTTGCTATGGGCACGTATACCAAGATCTTTATGCAGTTCGAAGAAGCTTTCTGGGATAACAAAACGCAATTCTTCCTGTATGCTGATCCTCTCGAGCGTGGCCGATACCCTCTCTTCCAGTCACTCAACCCTAAGGGCTTTGCGCCGGGCTCTAACATTCTCTTCGGAACTGTTACCGGAGAGCAGGCATGGCGAGTGGAACGTCAGAGCAACAACGAGACGATGGAAGAAATTCTTGATGTCTTGAGACTGATGTTCCCCAAGAAGAATGTGACAACACCGACTGCTTTTACATACCCTCGCTGGAGCACTGAACCGTAAGTCAAGAAGATCACACTCACAGTGGAATGACCCGTGGACTAACGAGACGCAGTTGGGCATATGGCTCCTACAGCAATTGGCCTGTTGGCATGACTCTGGAGAAGCATCAAAACATGCGCGCCAACGTTGAGCGTCTCTATTTCGCGGGCGAGGCCAATTCAGCAGAGTTCTTTGGCTTCCTGCACGGCGCGTACACTGAAGGACGTGATATTGCCAACAAGATTGGTAACATCCTCAACGGAAAGGCTGGCGATGATGAGTTTGACATGGAGAGGTATGAGAACCTTCACGGGACGACATTTGTGGATGAGTATGATGAGGACAATGGTTGGTTGTTCCCGTATGACGTCGAGGGGGATGAAGAAGAGGGAGAGGAAGAATAATGAGGAGATTGATGTTGATTCCGTGTAAATAATGATTGATGAAGGTAATGATTGTAATGCGACGGAAGACTTGGGTACTATAGTGGGATCAACGAACTTTTGTTGGTTTACTGAATATTCTGTTATTGTGATGGGTTTGTTGCATATGGTCGCCGATACCGCATCAGAGGATTATAAATCGGGGGGCTGGGGTTCAAGTCAACGCATGGCATGGGCACGCAGAAACTCAATGTCTCGGCCAAAGTATTCGCACATTGAGTTTGAGTCCCCAACGGCAAGACCGTATGCTTTCTCTACATGTGCGTGCCTTATTCAATTTGATAGAGTTTGCTTGCGGGTAGGGCCGAAGATGGTGGATCTGGTTATCAGCAGGCTGCATAAGTAATCTCGTATGGGGCCAAACAATTTGCGACGACATTATCGCCCAAGCTCTGGAAGGGATCAATTGAAGCTATCGTATGACCTTTAGCGGTGACCATGAGATTTCCGAGTCTGATTCCTCCGTACGCGCATTCACGTCGGGGCTCATCGGCGAGCGAACCGATTCCCTGCTTCTGGGCAGCTCTTGGCGTGGATTCAACCCCATCTCTTTGATGATCGATCGACAGTGGCCGAGTGGGAGGAGAGTGGGAGAGCAGCCATGATTACAATAACCATAACCCCGCCCTTTCACTTTTGCAGTCAGTGCGTAAACGTTTATCCCAATCGGTTCTGGTTAATGGAGTAATCAGTAGTAAATGCTTGGAAATCATCTGCAGCTTGCTGATAGAGTGACGCGGCTCGCATAGCCTCATCAATTGCCGACTCGATTGTTAGTGAGGTCAAGGTCTTGGCAATTGATGTCATGGATGTTTGTGCTAACTAAGACTGACTCAGATTTGGGTGTGATGCGCTAGATCTTTGAATCGGGACTGCTAAGGTGCTGTACCTGTAGCTGTCCTAAATCCGGTCAGCCCGCTCAGGTCCCCCCAAGCCTCACTATAAGCTAAAAGCTAAAAGGCAAAACAAGGAAAACTCCCCCTCGGTCGCAGCCGATGCAAATCCAATCCCCAAAACTAGTTTCAACTCTCATACTCCCATGAAACGACCCCAGTTTACGGAATAACAGTGATCAAACCAGCTAAAATCCGTAGAGCATGTATCAGTATCAGCGTCGGATTTAGCGAGTCAGCGGTTTCATAACCCCGTAGAGATTAGGTCGGCAAATCAGTTGCCATACTTACCGAGCCTGCCAAGAACTGGCTATGTCGTACTTACAGGGCATTTATTGGCCGAAGCGCATGTCCAAGCCACGCCAAGGGATCTAAAGTTAAGGTTTAGGTTTCCGAGGCCAACAGTTGCTTATGAGAGACGAATCATTGATGAGTGACCGCGTAATTCATTGCTTCGGACGCCGAGTCCAGTAGCACAACACGCGAGCATGGTATCCCCATCATGGCTTGGCATCATGGCTGGGCCAAGCATCTCAACGCGTCATAGTCGCTTGATATCTTTTTTCTGGTGTTTGCTGCAACTATCAAAACCCCTTCGTCTCTCCCGCCCTTCTCGAAGCTTTGATGGTTGTTACACTCTCAAGCCTTTGACGTAGGCACTATCCCATTCCCCTGACTATCCGAGCCAATTCGAGGTACTGTTTCATACAAAAGCATCTTTCACGAATCACTGCATAATCCATGATGTTGCGATCACTCGCCCTCACAAGCTTTCTCGCCGGACAATCGCTACGAGCTGCAGCTCAGCGCGACCAGGTTGACAACAGCAACCTTGACCCATTGAAGTTCAAGAGCGACGGAACATTCCAAATATCAGTCTTTTCAGATCTCCATTTCGCTGAGGGTACGGCATTGAAACTACAAGAACTCAAGGAAAGTCGCTGACCCAAGAACTAGACGCCTCCTCAATAGGACCCGAGAAAGATGCTAGAACCGTCAAGGTTATGGGCGATGTGATCGATGCCGAGCTACCAGACTTGGTAGTCCTAAATGGCGACTTGATCAACGGCGAATCAACGTTTATCCATAACAGCACGGTGTACATCGATCAAATTGTCTCCCCGATGGTAGATCGAAACATGACATGGGCTTCAACGTACGGAAACCATGATCACAATCGCAACCTCAACGGTACCGCGATGTTGGAGCGCGAGCATACATGGCCTGGATCGCGAACAGATTCAATGGTCCAAGGAAGCGATGCCGGAACAACAAATTACTACCTCCCCGTATACGCATCGAACTGCAGTTCAAACTGCACGCCTGAGCTGATACTCTGGTTCTTCGATTCCAGAGGTGGCTTTTACTACCAAGGCGGTGCTCAGCCTAACTGGGTCGACAAGAGTGTTGTAGAATGGTTTAACCAAACCAATGCTGATTTGCGCGAGGAATACGGCAAGAACATTCCTTCATTGGCCTTTGTTCACATTCCCGTGTACGCTTCTCTGATGCTACAGAACAACGGCGTCGATGAGAACTATCACCCTGGTATCAATGACGAAACGGTCATTCAGCAAGGTGCGGGATGGTGTGCAGACAAGAAGGGAGGTTGCGATTACAGCGATCAAGATTTGCCTCTGATGCAAGCTCTTGTTGCGACACCCGGCGTCATTGGCCTCTTTTCCGGCCACGATCACGCGAACTCATGGTGCTACAAGTGGGAAGACAAGGTTGGCAACATGGACCTTCCTGGCAACGGCATCAACCTCTGCTACGGTCAACATACCGGCTACGGTGGCTATGGAGACTGGATCCGAGGCGGTCGCCAAATCGTTGTCACACAAGAGGGTCTTGAGAATCTTGAAATCGAGTCGCATATCCGCCTTGAGTCGGATGAGGTCGTTGGAAGAATCTCTTTGAACTCGACTTACAACACTGATTCATACGCTGCAACTCCGAACCAGAAGACGTTCCTCAGCATCGCGAGCTCTTCTACGCCGACACCTTCGACGAGACCTGTGTCTCTAGCAGCGCGTTTTGGGTTACATAACGCTTTCAACTCATCTTTGATTGTTTTTGCAGGAGTTGTTGCATGGATTATGGCATAGAACCAGCGTTCAGATTTTATTGCATTTAGAGTTAAAATTATAGACAATGATTCCCCCAGCGCCACCGTCTTGTTCCTCCGCCGTGACAGCCGTTGTCGGCGAGCATGACCGTCAATGAAAACTCTAGGGCTTATTTTCAAAAGAGAACAAAAAAAAAAGGATGCAGTACTATCAAGAGATGACTACAAAAAGAGAATTCTTTGATGAGACTGGGACTCGAACCCAGGAGGATTGCTCCACCAGGAAATTGGTGTTAAGGTTAACCTTAACCTGGCGCCATAACCAACTCGGCCATCTCACCCAAGCTAGTGCTGATGCTCAATTTCGTTGGTGGCGCGAATCAGATGCTTGATTGACCAAGGCTGGGTTGAACGGGATGCATCATTCAGCCTTTACTCATTTGTTCTGGTGCTTCAATGAAGGAAGCATCGTTATTAGGGTGTTGTTCTCTTCAACTTATACTTCAGATTGTGTTTGCGGGACGGGACGGGTTGGGCTTTCAGCCACCAAGCTGAACCATGAACCTTGAACATGTATTGTTCAAAGACAAAGCTAGGCAGATCAGAGAACAACCAAGCATTATCGCCTTATTCAATCTTATGCAACTGATTCGACTGGCCGTTCATTGCTTCACTGTCTTGGGAGTTCTACTGGGCAGATGGAATATATAAACCTGTCATAAGTTCCATGTTGAATCATCAACAACCAGCTCCAACATAACCCGACCTTCATAAAAGTCATTTCTCTTGAAGTTTCTGCAACTATATAGCAACAGCAAAAAAGCCAACACTTCTTTCATGTCCCAAGACGCTGTCGAACACTACTACTCGGCTCACAAGCTTGTAGAGAAGGTTGAGGGTTGGGCGGAAGAGGTTAGTATCGCCACAGAAGATATGGAGTTGCCTGCGCCCATCAACCCTTCGGCCAAGGTGCCTCGCATAATCAGGTCCTTGCTCGAGCAACACGAAGAAGCCCGGCTTATTATTGTTCAAATTGAGGAGCAGCTCTTGAAACTCAACTATGAGCTGCCACAGAAAGGATTCACTGATCCCCCTTGTTCTAAGCACGGTGGCTCGAGCCATCGAGGAGTGTCACACCGTGAGTACCTCACCGAAAACTCTCGGGCCCAGGATCTCCCATCGGAGGAGATCTGGCCGTACATCCCGTTGGACAGTGATTCTGGGGACTCGTCTAAAGAGAAGAAGAAGAAAAGCAAGAGACCCAAGACTGAGGAGGAAAAGAATCGGCATATCAACAAGGTCTTCATACGTGAGAACGGAATTCTTCCGTTATTAGATCCTAGCGCACAGCTTTGAGATCGGACTTGGGGCCTGTTCTTCATGTATCTAATCTAATCAGGGTGAGTTGGGCTTGGAGCTGTCGGATAGCTAAAGAGTAAGTCATATAGATAGAATTTCGGTAAGTGTTGAGTCGAATTTATTGATACAGCTATGGGATTCCACAATTCATCAGGAAATGTGAGCTGCGATAAATGATCAGACCAGTCAGTCGTACAGTGTCCAATCGGGGGAGCCTGGAAGCTGCTTGTGGAGTGGCCAGAACTGACCTGAAGTGGCTACTCCTCGGCTCGGTTAGTAACCCCCCCCCTTCTGGTTTGAGATCTGATGCCATCTCAGCTCGACTTCAACATCTTCTACCGAGATCTGTAGCAATCATGGAAATGAGGAAGTTCTGACAAAGACTGGTGTGACGTCAGATTTCCATCAACGACTCTGGCAAAAACAGGGATATGCCAATAGCGTTCATTAATGGGCAAACCAGAATTATGCACTAACAGCCTTATCGTATGACTATAGCCCAAACCGTCGCGATCCCTCCAATCAGATATCGCCGGAGGAATTGCAGCGAAGCGGGGTTCTCTCTAGCCTGGTCTGGCCTTTCAAGACGGAATGGAGTCAGTCAGTCACGCATGCTCTACCTTGTTCCAGCGACACAACAGCCGACATGCGACACACAGACACTGCTTGTATCAACCTTTCAGATCAAGTCTACTCCAACCAACACGACTATCTTGTCGTATCTCATCTCACTTTCAATAAGTGCTCATCATTTCTCCTTTGGGACTGGCAGGTGACCCCAGCAAAATCTCATTCCTCTTTTGCCCCTCGGAGGCAAATTCTCGAGAACAACTAAACCCTTTGAAACACACTCGTTTCTGTTTTGATATCCAAAATTCTCATGGGCAGCTCAAAGAAGCCTACACGAGCACAAGAACACCAAAAGTCTAATCGACAGTTGCTCCCCAGAAACCTCCAAAAATCAGAACATGAGCCTCAATACGCGCCACTCGATGTCTCCGACATCCCCAGGGCAGCCTTAACATCAGTCGCGTGCAACAACTGCCGCGTCCGGAAATCAAAGGTTTGTCCTGCTGTATCAAATCGTATTGGTGTCGTATGAGTAACAGACTTCATTATCTCCAGTGTGATGGTCGTAAACCAACATGTTCGGCCTGCGCGAGCCGAAGACAGCACTGTGTATATCGTGCCGAGGTTTCTCAGGAGAAGATGACGGAGCTGAGAAAGTGCTCTAAAGATCTCTTTCAGGCACTGGAGCTCTTGAGAACTGCCCCTGATGAACACGCTCAAAATCTGCTGGAGAGATTGCGCAGCAGCGATTCTGTGTCGGAATTCTTGCAAGTTCTTGACTCAGGCACCATGAAGCCACCTTCACCAACCGACCCTCTAGCCACCAGTCTCGCGGCAACTTCAGCCGATTCAACAATAGAGCTAGACCTAAACATGCGATTTTCTGGCGTATTCCCTATGCTGGAAACTCTCGATATCAAGGACGTAGATCTTGGTCTACTGGCAGTTAACAAACGGGCCCTGACATCTTCGAATCAACAGGCGGCAGCACCTTTGACACCTTTTACTCCAATAGAGTTTGGTCAAAGATCGGAGACACCGACGACTTCTGAAACCTTCTCAACACCAAGCGACACCACTGGAGATACTGGCGTTGACTCTCGGCTAGAATCTCTTCAAATATGGCAGTGGACTTCAGTACCTATACCCGAAAACCTGGCTGCGCAAGTTATATCTTTCTATCTAGTCAACGAACACCCTGTACTATCATTTTTCGACGCCGATTTATTTATTCGAGACTTCGTGGCAGGCGGAGGTCGCTTCTGCTCACAACTTCTCGTCAGCTCACTTCTTGCCTGGGCCTGTGTAAGCTGTCCCTTTTCCCTTGAATACACGCTTGCTGACACGAGACAGGCCTCCTATTCTCAGTTTGAGCCACGAGCTCAAACACTCTCTCTTGCATTTTTGAGAGAGGCTAAGAGACGATGGAAAGATTTGACAGACCATAATGCTCTCACTACGTTATCATCGGCAATGCTTCTTGTCCTTACTTGTAACCAGCATGGACAAGACAAAGTTGGTCTATCCTACCTTGACGCCAGTGTACAAATAGGTCGAGGACTTGGTTTATTCAGCGATGATGGAACATCGGTACCTGATTTTAACGACGACAGTGAAACAAGGACAGCAGCAACATTTGCCGCTTGGGGCACCTTTGGTTGGCACAGGTTAGTATCATTATCCCGACCATCCAGATAACCATACTTATTTAATGTAGTCTCCACTGTATCAACTTCCGAGCAAAACACCGAATACGACATCCGCCATCTTTGCCTATACCAGGAGATGTGTCTGGGCCGCCCCTGAATGAGCATATGGGAAGCACTTTCACATGGATATCCAAGTTCTGGGTCATCATACACCAAGCATTTCGTGAAGGCTATAACCACTTTAGTCGTCTACCGATGTCACACGCACATCAGATGTATCGACTGTTACTTGACTGGGCCAGTATCCTTCCAGAGGACGTACAGAGGAGTGAAACCTGCCCCCACCATGTTCTCTTACTACAGTGAGTCGAGTAGAATATGTCCGAAGGCTTTAAACTGACCGTCACAGTATTTGGTACCACACAGCAGTAATAGACATGTGGCGCCCATTTCTCGGTCGTAGAAGCTATGAAGACGCTGGTGGAAGTGAACTTGCCACTGCCACTCACGAAGCATCCGTCCATCAACTCAAACGGCTTATATATCTGTACAGGAAACGATTCGAGTCAACGAATCTTACCATGTTCATGACCCCCGGACTTCTCACACTCATCAATGAAGTCTTTCGAAACCCCGGTACATCCGACGCTCAATTCTACTTCATGTTGGCCGCGCGCGGATGCCTGTCGATAGCATCTTGGTGCAGGGGCCTGCGAGGCATCACAGAAGGCTTGATGACAATAGGTTGGCAAAACGGAACCTTCAAACGTGAAGGATGGACAAACAACAGCATGATTGAGGACATCAGAGCTACAACACGGGCGCTCAACCAAGAGGGCACCTATAGCAGCCTTTACCCAATCAATCTCGATTCAACGAGCGAGAGCATGGACGACATCGGCATGGAAGCCTTGGCGGGCGAGTTTCAGAGGCTGAGTTCAAAACATGAGCCTACGCGCGGGAAAGAAGTTGAGATGACGAGTGAGCCTAACGTCTGGAAGGGAGATCAGCGAGACTTGGACTTGACGTTGACTGAAGCGACGGAAGAGGAGGAATATACTTAGCGAAGCCATTGTATGATTCTTGACGGGGCATATGAAGTAATGAAGGAGCTTTGGCGAGCTGAATAATAGCCACTTATGGCGAACATAGACTGGCTCGTATGTATAATTTTGTACACAGTTTAAGATACCCGACATTAGTCGAGAGCGAGCGACATTACATATTCATCTTGGTGAACTTTGATGTCTCTGAACTTATTCCGGATATTAATCCAGCCTGAGGGCCGAGTTATGCCTCTCTACTAGGCTCACTGCTTGTGAGGTGACATTAGTGAATCCTACAGTCTTACCGGCAAAAGAAAGAGTGGTGGAACCACTGTCAGCAAAAGCTGACGAGCACTTCTTACTTGACTCCGCAGAGTTCGAAACCTGGTAGTGCTTACGCCCCCATTATTCTCATGGCGATCCAAATCACTCCCAAGACAGAAACAAGACTTGCGCAACATACGTTCATCAATTCGACTGAACATGGCCTCTGAAGAATCTGGAGAGTACTTTTCTGTTTCCACCATCGCGGTGAACCCGGGCAGGATTGATGAGGTATGATCCCCATTGCACTGTTCTGCCCGGTCTGTTTTCTAAACAGTCAGGCCCATGCCTGTCTGGCCGAAGTTGCCGAAGCGACCTTGAAGGAACCAGGAGCCAAGATCTACAGGTTCTACAAGACTGAGGGTAAAGACGAGTTCGTCTGCATGGAGAAGTAAGTCCTTCACATGTAAGAAGCGCGACAGTAGCTGACTTCAATGCTAAAGATTCACGGATCGAGACGCGTATGCGGCGCATGTTAGTTCAGAGCATGTGAGGGAATGGGCAAAGAAGTACTTGTATTCGGGCATCTTTGTTGGGTCTTTTGAGTTCCATCCTCTTGCGAAGGGAGGTCCTGGAGCTGGTGGTTTTGACCGGCCTTAGTTACTGCACGAGTTGGGGACAGGGGTGTTGTGCTCTAGACCTGAAAGCTTCCTCAACATTCTGTTCCAAGCCGTTCTACGATGCAACTGCATCTTCCATAGAAATCTTTCAACAGTTTTGGCACCAATCGTTCAACAGATTGATACTCATCGACATCATGGTCACGTGTTGGATGAAACCTGTCCTTGCTTGAAGACGGGGGCATTGACATCATAGAGCCACTTTTCCATCGCCACCCAGAATATGATATCAACTCATCAAGACAGAGCAGAGTAACTCCTACAAGTAAGTTTCCCTAACCCCAATAGTCTAAGTACCAAACCAATTTGTTCAAAGCGTAACAAAAGCACCTATCACCAGAAATCGCACTCAATCATCTCTCAAAATATCCACAATGGCAACAGAAAGAACGAATCAAGAAACTCGCTCAACCGTTGGTGATCAGAGCGATCATTCTAGCGACAATGAATCAAAACAAATGACCCAAGGTTCACAGAATTATCAGGTCGATCAATCCAGCTCTGAGTCTCAAGGAGCAATCAATCAGCCCCAAAACCAGCAGCCGGTTCAACCAGCGAACCAAGAGACAGGAAAGAAAAGCAGCGCGCCTCGCGTGAGATTGGATATGGATCTTGATGTTGAGTTACAACTAAAAGCGAAGATCCAAGGTGATCTTGAATTGGCCATATTGTAAGTCTTATCGATCTTGAAACTCACTTCAATGATGCTAATAGATATTGCAGAGAGAACTAGGATTATCGAGCGGTTACAATTGTGGAAGGTCTCAGGAATGAGTTTGGATTTTTTTCCCCCGATGAGCTTAACTTTATAATAATATCATAATTCATTTTCAGTCACTCGCTGCTGCAGGCTTCTCCGTGTATGAATATTTGCTCATGGTGATAGCCTCAGGATTGCTGGAATGTGCCATCATCACGTGAAGTTACATGTATCTGCTAACCGCATTTGTCAATTCTTCTCCGCGGACCCGCGGCTTCGACCCAACATCTCCGCTTCATGAATCTGACCCTGTCAATTGATCTATCTCCGAAGCCGATGTCCATGCCGATGCGCGCATGTTTCGCACGATGAAGCGCAATTACTCCGGAGCACCTATCATGTCGACTTACAGGGCTTCTCGGCTGCCAGTCTCATGCCGCCCCTGCCGCGAGAAGAAGCGGCGCTGTGATCGCAATCAGCCTTGTTCAAATTGTACCCAACGGCAACTCACATGCGTTTACGAGAATGGCTGTCGAACAACTGACTCTTTGGAGAGTGAGGCGTTACCGGAAAGGAACCTTGGCGATACTTTAGTCTACCCAAACGAAAGCACCTCGGCCTTCTCTCCACTGAGACAGTTGGATCTGTCAGTCAACCTGTTCCTGGTACACAAACCACTTGTCATGCTAATGGCACCAGAAACAAGGAGATGCTTGACAGGCTAACTAAACTAGAAAAAGCTGTCTTCCAAAATGCAGTTCAGGTACCGCAGCTCACCCAACCAGAATCAGCTTCCTCCAGTACGTGCCTCAAGCCTGAATCCTGCTATGTAGGTCCTTTCAAAGCTGATCAAAGCATGTAGACCGCAAGTTGTTCAGCTACCATACTGAAGCTCTCTCAAACAACAAGGCTGCTTCTTTCAACGTGCGATTAAACCATTTGACGTCGAATCTTCCACCTGCCCATCAAGCACGTCTGCTATGCGAACACTTTATTGCCACCATCCAACCCACGTTCGGTGTCCTGCACGTGCCGTCAACTAGATCACTTGTTTATAGCTGTGTGGGCTCTGACAAAGGAGCTGTAAAGTTTGACGAGTTGCTCATGCTTTTCAGTATCTTTGCTGGTGCGGCCTTGGCCTGGACAGACGAACTTCTTCATAGGCTTGAAGCAACAAAAGCCAACGCCGTGTCGGCCTTCGACTGCTATTTCCAATCTGCTCTGTCGATCATTGAAGACACTGGCACGCCACTACCGCCCTCAGTCACTGCCGTATCAGCGATATGTACGCTTGCACACGTGGCCATCAACTCTGACGATGTCCTCCCGATCAAGGCATTGGATCTGAGAAGCCGGTGCTACAATATGTGCCGTGAAATGATGATTCATCGCTTAGATAGCCCGGCAGCACAGAAGGAGCGAGATAGAAGCCCGGCCAACAATATTGAATTGGAGGTTCAGAGACGTGTATGGTGGAACATCGTTGCTTCTGACTGGTAACTCATTCTTTGTATGATCAGTGGCTGATCTTGCTGACCCTTCATCAGGTTGACTTCGTTCTCTGGGAGTTCCCAGGAGGGCATCTACACATTCATCCCGAGACTGATGAGAGTAAAGCAACCGCGTAACGTCGATGATGCTGCGCTCACAGCTTTAGGGGACATTACTGATTTACCTATCACCGTTCCAACAGACATGACATTTTTCTTTCTGCGTCTCAGAACGGCAGAAATATCTCGCGAGATTATCGATACGATCGCACCTCTGGCCGATGACGCCCCTGAAGAAGACTACGAAGTCATCCTCCAGCTTGATAGAAAACTACAGGATTTTGTCAAAGGCCTTCCCGAGTTTTGCAAGCTCGACCCGGAGAGTATGCTGAAGTCCGAAGACATTTGCAAATCGAGGCCGTTCATCTACTGGCAACGAATTAGTCTCCACCTCGGCATCCACGCACGCATTTGTCGCCTTCATCGTCCTTATCACCTCGCAGCGTACTCAGATCCTCGATATTCCTACTCTCGAACGACGATACTCTCATCAGCATACAAGATCTTGGAACTCAGACGCATGATGGACGACCCGGTTGCCAAGCTTCACTTTAGACCGGAGAGGTATTGGGTAATCTTCTTGCACGTCACCTCAGCCGCGATAGCGTTGGCAGTCGACCTGTCTCACAACCCTGATACCCCCGACGCTGAAGCCATAAAGGAAAAGGTCAGAGTCGCGTACGAGACGCTGAACAAATCGAGGAAGAACGCGGAGAGCTTGATCAGAGGTATTGAGAAGAACATGGAGCAGGTCATGGGGACTGTGCAGAAGCAGCGTGCGAATGCGGTGATATCAGCGTCACCGGCTGGGACATCGAGCGCCAACTTGGGATCGGTTCCTGAAAGTGCTTTCATGGACATGAGCGATGTGACAGTGGGCATGCAGGAAGACGGTTTCGGGGACGAACATTCGCACCAGCTCTGGTCAGACTTTTTGGCTGCTGTGCCTGACCTTGAAGAGTTTCAGTGGACTTCTCTTTTGCAAGACCTCGACTTTGATCCTAGCAACTTCAGTTAAGAAGTTCGAAGCATCATGATGCTTGTGCCGTGGGAGGCTAGAGATACATTGCATACTTTAATACAACCCTTTTATCACGCCTTCGAGTTTTCATGGAAATGTCAATATCAAAACTTTGCAGTGTCATGTCATAGTTTGACACTGGCGCCCAACATATGTCTGAAATTTCAGGTTTGTGTCATTGAAACTCATCGCCTGTTACAGTTTCCTGAGCTGGATGCAGTCGTCTTAGCCGGCGTTGAAGTTAATGTCCGATTAGTCCGGTCCGGACACAACCTTTCACGGATGACCCGAAAACGGAAATCCTCGACCGCGGACTTCCGCACCTGATCTCCGACACTCGAAGTAGTTATAAACGGCAACTCCACTTTACAAAGAAAAAGACAAGAGCACTTCAGATACAATCATCAAGATTACCGAACCATGAAGCAAACAAAGGCAAGTTTCCCAACCTGCAGACTGCCAACAATGCTAACATCTCCGCAGGCCATCATCATCGGCGGAGGCCCCGCAGGTCTCGTAACCGCTCTGCGCTTACAGCAGCAACTGAACGTGGACTGCACGATCTATGAGCTTAGGCCAGTACCTTCCACATTGGGGAACGCCATCGGAATCATGCCAAATGGTCTGCGACTTCTTGATCGCTTGGGAGTTCACTCAGAGCTCAAGGAGCGCGGAAGCAGTCACTCCAATATGACCATCCACTCTATAAATGGAGGGGTTCTGGGACGAAGAGACATGGTTGCTGCAGCAAAGGAACAGACTGGTTATGGGTACATGAGAATCAAGCGAACTGATCTGCTCGACACCTTGTTGAAAGAGGTTGCTGAAGCTGGTATTGCGTTGCACTACAACAAGTCACTTATCTCCATTACAGAATCGACTGATTCAGTCACCGCGACCTTCTCTGATGGTACTAGTGATACTGCAGACTTTCTCCTTGGGTGCGACGGGATTCACTCGGCTGTACGACGCCTGCATGTCGATCCAGATCAGGCACCTGTATACACGGGGATGTCGGGCCTCGGCGCTCTGGTCTCAGCTTCTTGCGTTTCCGAGGCAGCTCGACAAGAAATGAGAGGCATGAATATCACAATGACCCAAGAGGGTATGTTTGGCGTCATGACATGCACTGCTTCCGACGATGAGATTCTGTGGTTTTTGTCCAAAGAAGTACCGTTGCCGGACTCTGAAGATGCCCGCAATGGATGGGAGCTTCATCGACGGGAGGAAGTGGAGGGATTCAAGACTCAACTTCACAAGACTCTCGAAGATGCTGGTGGAGAATGGGGCGATAACCTGCGTGAACTCACTGGCAATACGACAGCTGTGAAGTTCTACCCGATTTACAAGCTACCCCCCGGAGGAAGATGGCACAAAGGGAGAACTCTGCTTCTCGGTGATGCAGCACATGCTATGCCACCTCATGCAGGCCAAGGAGTGTCGATGGCATTCGAAGACGCGTTTCTCCTTGCTCGTCTTCTTGAGAAGAAACTGTCTCTTGCGGATACATTCAAGCAGTTTGATGACATCCGGAGACCAAGAGTTGAGGATATTGCGAACAGATCTTCGGGAAATGCCAAGATCAGACGAAAGACAGGGCCATGGGGCTTGTGGCTGAAGGAGACGGGGCTTTGGCTGTTTATGCAAGGTGCTTGGGTGTTTGGCATGGATCGTTGGGGATCAGAGACGCAGCAGATGGTGTACGACATTGACAAAGTCAACATCTGAGCCGATGTTGTCAATGAGTTTTGTATCTTGATCTTGGATAGCTAGTGAAAATTCTAATTCAGAACACTATTTTAAAGATTGCCGGCGGTAAACGCGGCCAAGACGTGATAATCCTCCTTCAGTAGACGCATGACTTCGATATTATCTTGGCTACGCATGGATCAACGCTCTTCCGAGCAGGGCTCCCTTGAAAATTAATGGGCACGAATCCTACGTTGAAAAGGAGAAAATGCCGCAATTGAGTCCTGTTTTCTCTTTCTTCCTCCTTCATTCCCGCGCTTGCCCGTGTATTTGTGGCCACTGGCCCTTGGGGTCGTGGGAGGTTCGCGACTGAGGCCATCTACTCTTGGGAGTTGGAGTCTTTGGCCAAAGGAAGTAAGCTATCAGGCCAAAGTCTTTATAAACCTTAAAGTCTTTGTCTGGTCTTGAAAGGTAAGCTTTCTTGTCATTTCCTAAATCCTCCTACCGTCAGTGATGAGATCGAAACAATTACTTCCATGGCTATGATCACATATGATTCAAGCTGTTTCCGTTACACAAGCTGAGACATTCCATATAATGAACCTTCGATTACCCTCTCTGTCGATCATTATGCTGACTTGTCGAAGCTAGAGATCCCCGGTCTATTGGGCAAGGTTGGAACCGAAGAAGCCAGTCAACTAGGTCACATGAGCGCAGATTGGATTCTCTAAATATAGTCAATCGAACCAGTCTGAACTTCAGAGTTGCTTGACATTCTTAAGCTTCCCAGACCTGTTTAGTTCGCCAATATCGTAGGGACGTAGCGAACAAGAAATGTATGAGAGGCCTTGGTCATGTGAGCTGTGTTACGCATCTGGATGCGCGAGTCCCATCCAGACAGATTGATCAAAATACATGTCATGCCTCACGTGAATATACACATTTAATAACAAGTTGCAGATTCGGGACGACGGTCAATTGCTTTATATTGACTGTGATGATATTGCATCCTTATGAATTGGAGGATCCGTCGTTTGTTGTCACCTTCTCTGCTTCCCTCCCAACATGAACGATGTTTTTCTGCCCGTCTCCCTCAAATGTAGTAACCGGTTACTTCCCCTCAGAGGCTTGAAGTGCTATTGATTGAAGTCTCACGTCAATGCAAAGGCCCAGTCTCGCTCAAACACGCAACGATACCCGCAATAGCAGCCAGGGTCCCATCTGGGTTCTTCACTCGCACCGTGTGCAGTCCCAATTCCTTAGCAGGGTAATCGTTTCCACCGGGAAAGATGGCATCTCCAATGAACATGATCTGCTCCAGAGGAATCCCACTCGCCGCCGATAGCTTCTTCAACCCGTAGCCCTTGTCAACGCCCTTCTGCGTGATGTCGATTGAAGTCGCTCCACCCATGTTGATCGACAAGTCCGGGAGTCGCTTGTACAGATCCGCCTGGATAATCTTTCGCTTCTCAAAGTCAGGATCCCAAACCTCCTTTGCCGATGGGGGCGCTTGTTGACCGAGCGCAGAGAAGGTGATTTGGCTTCCGCGATCTTCAATGCGCTCACCCCAAGTCTGCTCTGGCTGGAAACCCGTTGCGTCGAGAGCAGCGTTGAAAGCCTCGATGATGTTCTTCCTCTGCTCCTCGCTGAACAGTTCTGCATATTCCACTTTCCACTCATCGCCCTTGTGAGTGTAGAGCTTGGTGCCGGTGGTAGGCATGAGCCAGAGTTTGGAAAGGTCAGCTCGCGCGGGAAGACGGCTTGCGACCTGTTTCTGGAATTGAGGCCAATCGCCGCCCGAAATGACTGCGACGTGGGCGACGGTCAAAAGATCGGCGAGGGCTTCGCCCATTGAGTCGAGAATTGCCTGCTTGCTCTCCGCAAGAGTGCCATCGAGGTCGAATGCGACGAGTTTGATCATTTTGTCTGCGATTTGGAGTTGTTTGGTGGGTGGGTGAGGGGCTGTGTTGTACTGATAAGAGTTGACACGGTGTTGTGAGACTGTGAGGTCAAGTAAGATGAAGGTACACGCGTACCGTTTTAGCTTGACTGCATGACTAAGAATAGTAACCATGATCCTCTAAGATCAACAACTGCTAATAAAAAAAACCATCAAGCTCATCTGCGGCATCAGAGGAGGTATGCAAATGAGATTCCAAATTTAACGTCTCACATAACAAGTACGTTTAATATTCCCGCGTCCTCTCGGACGTTTGCGCCATTCGAACTTGGTTGTCTGCTAGACAGCTATAGACAGATGGGGCGTGGCAAAATGTCTTGCATGAACGTTTGAGTAATCTAAAGGAAGATTGGTTCTTTCCAGCGGGAGACAGAGTAGTATGACGGGTCAGACGGCCGCGAGAGGGGTATCTAAGGTGCGGACGAGCTCCGCCCCCTTGGTTCTTATTCCGCTGCGGGATGGAGTGCCGGGCGGTGCAACGCGCTATATAGCGCAAGCCTACGGTACGGCCACCGATAGCGACGGTGAGTCCGCCAACGGGCAGCTGGAGCCTGGAGGTAAAAGGGGGCCATGTGAAAATGGGCATGGAGTAAACTATGGGAAGCACGATACTGTGATGCAGGGCCGTCCGCAGCATCGGTGTTGTTTCTAGAGGCGAGAGTGGTTCAGTAGGAAGGTTGTATTGTTTTCATGTGGTTGTAGGTAGAAGCGCGACGTAATGGGCGACCTGGCTGTTGGTCTGTCGGTCGGGGCATGTTACTCTTTGATAGAACCGGCGCGGGCATGCTTCCTCGATGTTGTCAATGAGTTTCGTTTTTCCCAACAAGTCAGATGATGTCCTCTTCATCAAAGCTCTTGAAGCAGATCTGCTCAAAGTTCGGCGCCCTTCCATGATAAAATGATGAAGACGGCATCCAAGCACCAGATTGGGGACAAAACACATGTGAGAGAGTTTGAAACGAGGGCAGTTTTATTCAGAAGAAGCGAAATATCGATAGACCTTGAAGGCCGAATCATTCAGAATCTGATCCTAATGCACAACAATAAGTATAAAGTTGCAATCAACAGGTCTAAGTAGGTATATTAATTTTTGCAGATCATGAGCTTGCACCACCTCGTCCATCGTCTCAGGCAGTTTGGAATTAGGTCTGTATGGTCGAAAGCCTCTCTATACCTTCTCCAGATATTGTATGCCCTAGATATTACCTCTCTGTGACTCAACACTGACATGAGGGCGGAAGCCGGTCTAACACCCACGATATTCCGATGAGGTGCGAGCTCTTGGTAAGATGTTGTGCAGGAAGGGAATGCCAGTTCTTAAACGTAACCAGACTAAGGTACGGTCACAAATAGTCTTCATGCGCAGTCCACGTAGATCTGCTGAAATCGGTCGTCGGTGTCGGGATCAAAGTTGACAAGATCGATTCCACATCATGGACGTTCAAAGATCTCTCGTTTTTGTCTCTCGGTCAGACGAGGTGGCGCAAACAAACAACCCTGGCCTTTAACTAGGTGTGGAGTATCGTCACCGTCCTTGTCGTCCTCCTGCTTTGAGTTACAGTCAAGGACCCAACTTTTGAGCATGTCCAAGTTGGCATGGAATGTGCCTTTGGGCTCAACCCACTCTTTTGGCCAGCGCAATTCGCCCTCCGCGGTATCAGATAATGGAGCAAGAATACTCAGATCAATGATAAAATCCAGGTCGATGCCCAAGCCTTCAAGGATATCGTGGAAGTCTGCGTTTCGCCTTTCGGCCATATCCTTCATTTGTTTGAGGAGTCGCTGCATCTGACGCGCAATAAGACGCCAGTTCCTTTGGACGCGCAATATGAACATTGCGGTAGATCTGGTGAGAGTAAGTAATGATACGGAAAGTTGGGCGGAAACGAAAAAAAAGTAATTGAGTATGGTCGGGGAGGAGAACAATGTGGCTTATATAGTGCGGCACCATGACAAAGACATCTTTCTTTGTTTGTGCCCTTTGTGCGACTTGTTTATTCAATGAACAAACCTTGTGGCTGAAACCAATGTCTTCTTATTCTTTGACATGTTCAGGCTTGCTAAGCCAGGGCAACACGACCCGGTGAACCGCCGGTTTATAATGAATTTGTAAACCTCCCCAATTCGATATCTAGCTTGACAGGCTGAACATTAGCCAATGCAGTAAGCCACGATACTTGAAACTCTCGACAAGGATATGAGTACTGGTGATATAAATGTCAAGATGCTGTATCTGCGCTATACTGTGCCTGAGATTGAGAAAGATGGCCATCCTGGATGGAATAGTCCTTGTCAGATGACGAGGCCTTGAAGGCTGCTTGAAGGACTAGTACCGCACCCACTTTCAATATTCGTCGCGGCCCATGCCAGTAACACTTCAAGTACTGAAAGGCTCGTTCATCCACTGAAGCAAATCGTTTCTCACATCTTGGAGGCCATGTAAGGAGGTTTTGCGGAACAAGGTTACCATGGTGAATGTTAGTAGTGTAGTAACATTGCCCCCTTTGTTGGCTTGGCAATTGTTTGTGGCCAAGTTTAAATTAATGAACAGATTGATGGCTACAAACCTAGCTTTACATATCTCCAGATATCTCAGAAGCTTTCTTCTGCTCTGGGCGACTTGGTTTTCGGTATTGCGAAGTACTCGACTATATCGCCTATGGCTACATCCTTTTTCTACTTCTCACCATAGATCCGTCAGCCTACCACTAATGCGACTGCGAGTATCGGTGTGGGGTTTGCAATGTTGACATTGTCATCACGAATGAGGTCTTGCTTGGGCGTGGTGGTGTCAATTATGTGTAGAATGGATCGATGCCGAACTGATAAGGGACCGCAGTACTCGCACGATACCTTTTTCCATTTATTCTCGATCACTAACACATTTGATAAGACAAGTCGGTGACTCAGTTCTCTGACTACCACAAGTTCCTATTTCAACTCACCAATAGCATCCTCATGCATGATCGACAAGTCTGTCATATGGTTGCACAAAAGTGAGGGTGAATGATTGGCTCTTCAGATCGACTGCGTGACAGCAACCTTAGCCTGAGGAATCCACTGAAATTCACCAACAGTGCTCTGTAACAGATAGTCGGTCGTTTGTTTTGCTTTTTGTTTCCACGACAACGTCCGATTCTTACAAACCATCTCAAGAACAGTATCGTCAGTTCACTGAGAACGACCTGTAGATATCTGCGCCTCTTTCCAAAGCTTTTATGCCATCTACTCTGCAAGTGTCAAATGCCATGAGCCGCCTTTGAAGCGCTGTCTCTCTTGCGGATAATAGTAGTGCTTGCGCAGTCAAGGTAAAGAAGGGGTCGAGTATCTCAACTGACGAGCGCGGAGGACCTATCTGACCATACGATGCCTCCCAAAAGGTCTGGCAAAGCTCGAAAGCGGCCACAGGCTGAGACAAGCCGCTCACCTTCCCCTGGTCGTCCCGCAAAGCAGCCAAGGCTATCGGCTTCACCACCTCCGAGTACGCACCCGCCGGCAAACAGCTCCCCCGCATTAAGGCCGGCATGCGAAAGGTCATCAAGGCTTTTGAGGATGCCAACCGCGACCCTGCTGAGCTGTGGACTGAGGGAGGTCTGATGCTCCAGCTTGTGCGTCAAGACCCTGTCGGAAGAATACACTAGCGAATCTTTGACAAGATTGACTTTGAGAATCTGGTGCTGAAGACGCCTTCTCAGACTCAACGACGAGAGGTGCTCGGCAGCGAAGATGAGCAAGCATCAATTGACAGAGAGAATGCCGAGCCGACGCTTGAGCCTCTTACAGAGTCGATAACCATCGCCGAAACATCAGCCCTCGAAGTCACAAAGTCCACCAGTGGACAGCCTCAGAACAACGAGGTAGTCAAACCTATGAGCGCTACCATCGAGGCCCTACGAAACGGCGATGGACTGGACAGCCACGGCATGATCCGGTGTGCGAACCTATTTCTCCGCCCTTCAGACTGGTACATCTTCCCACCGGGGTCCTCCTTCACAGACGCCGACAAAATTCACGCTGAACACCCTGCTCTGAAAGCCCAACATATCGCATTCTTCGTCTACAGCCAAGCCGAGGACCAATGGGCGCTCTGTCATCTCGACGTGAGCAAAGCAACTCTGGTCCACCATTTGACAAACCATGTCACCAAGGCGCCGGTAGAGGAACTTGTGGATTGGTTGAGATCGCAACCAAAGCTCAACATGAAAGGTATGATGTTCATGAAGCAGGTAAGTTGGCTACCCAAGTCTCGACAGACTAGGTTACTCATTCTTTGCAGCCCGGCCCTATTCACATAGACAGTCCTAGCGGTGGGATCTATTCCCTTGTCTTTTTGAAGTGTCTCATGGCTAAGGAGAGGGTTCCTCGATACGTTAACATCGCAACAGCCCGTATGGAATTCATCAAGATGATCGGATCCGCCAATTCAGACGAAAGCAGGGTTATCCAAGACTTGACCTCGCCCCAAGACGCTGACTTGCAGGGGGGGACGATTCTCACTGGGACACCACACGATCAGGCTGTCCCCATTGATACCAATCTTCAACCTCATTCTTCCAACTCCAATCCGGCACAGTATTCGTCCGACGCGGAACCAACCAGCGCAAAGCAGGGTCTTGCAATACTCTCTCCTCGCCCGACTCCTGAGCAATCAGAGCAGACCGTGCCCATTTCATCATCCGAGAGTTCCCTCAAACCCCCACCCGATGAACATGAGCTTGTAGGCCCTACAGACGATGAAGAAGAGAACAGCGAATCTGCAGTCACTGCACCTACAGACAACGCACGAGCATCAGAGACCAATACCCGCCTGAGGGATCCCGAAGATCCTCTCACCCTCGCGCAATCTCTCGAAGCGAACTTCGCCGCTTTTCTCAATCAACGACGAAAGCTTGAAGCCTTCGTAAAGGCCGAGCAAGCCAGCGCGACGGAGAATGATGAGACAATCGCTGAGCTTAAGCAAGCTCGAGACGAACTCAACAAAAAGCACAGCAGGAGCACATACGAGCTGAGATGCAAGGTTTCTGAGTTGGAGACACAACTTGAAGCAGCAAAGGTAGCGCTGGAAACTGCGAAGATGGCGGAGAAGGAGTCTGATGCTCGCCTTACGGAACTTGGGGACGAGATTCGGGGTGAAGAGAGAAGTAAGGCTGAAGCCGCTGAGAGGATCAAGCAGTGGGAGGCTACGCTGGCAAAGACTGCGTTGCAGTCTATGTAGGACAAGACACATTGTGTTGGATGAACGATGGGATGAAAGAGACTTTGTCCGACTTTCTTTGCTTTGTACTTCAACAGTTATATACAAAGAGCATGAGAGTATGTTTGGATCACTCTGAGATTTGGTATCTAGGTAGGACATACTCATGGTAATGGCGAAGACACGGGCGAGGAAAAGCGACTTCAGTACCAGGCTGAACATAATTCTACGGAGGTGAACGTGTAGGTTCGGCGATGACCTCTCTATAAACAAAGCTCAAGAAGAAGTTGACATAATGAAATGCCTTCGTGTTCTTACTGATCAACTCTGTTCACAGCCCAAAGCTTGACCTGATAGGCGGCAGTCATCCCATAGTTATCTGATAAATCGCGATCGTCTTGATCATTCCATTGGTTTGTTCCAAACTTGCATCGACTGATTGATGAAACGGCCAATGCAGGGTAGGACTAGGGAACAGAAAATTATCCCCAGGACAAGTTAGACCACCCAGTCGATTCTATCCCCAGCTAAGTCAAGCAGGTTATCTGTATAGGCTGCAATCCGCGTTCGTCCTATCACATACGACCATAGGTAGTGGAAAATACGGGATCCCGTCTGCTCTCCCATAGTCAAGCCACTAACCGGCGGATTAGTAGTTGGGTCGGTG